GGAAATCAGGGTTGGACTCGTCTCTTGGTTCAGGTGACTACAAAGTCACTAGTGATCACCAGCTGTGTCCCACCCCAGCTGTGCTGAAGGATGGACATACTGTGCCAGGCAGTTCAGACAAAGTGCAATTCCAGAGTTGACACAGGTTTCAAAGGCTGAGGCCCAGTCCACAAGACTCCGCCCCTCCCACACCCAGATTGCAAACTCCCAGATTACCAGGACGGGCCCACTTCTGACCAACTGGCTGCGTGAAAATTTGAGAGTTCCTACTATGCTCTCAGGTTGGACACTTTACTAGAACAACTCATAAGACTCAGGAAAGTGCTGTACTGATCATAGTTGGATCATATAAAATAGAAACTTGAACCAGCCAGATGAGGAAATACATAGGACAAGATATGGAAGATCTCTAACATGAAGTTTCCCTGTCCTCATGACACATTACCCACCTGGTGCCTCAGGGCTCAGTGCCAACCAGGATGCTTCCCTGAGCTCTATGTCCAGAATTTTATTAGGGTTTATTATGTAGGCATGATGAATTAATTGATTGAATCATTGGCCACATAATTGGATTTGCTCTCCAACTTCCCTTATCCCTCAAGGTCAGGCTGACTGTAGCGTAGCTCAAAGCTCCAACCCTCTAATCGAATACTTGGTCTTTCCAGTCTGAAAATCTGAATCATGGTTGGCCAGCTCTCTGCTCCCCAGCCCTCTCCCATTTTCAGTGAACACAGAATTGCTCATAAAATAGCAGAGACTTCAGATATCGTGGGATAGCTTGGCTGGACTAATCTTCCTGCAGGTAACAGTGATAAAATCTGGATAAAATTTACAAGTGACCTCTCAGGCACTGGAGAATGAACACACCAGGCAGAAACTAGAAGGACATCTGTCTGTGAAAGATAAACTGTGATGAGTAAGATCTGCAGGTTTGACTTTTCGCCTGAGGGCACAATCCAGTTAGCAGGGGCAGATGTAGCCTTGCTAACTTGAGGTGTCAGAAGTTAAAACCTGGGTCTGGCAGAGCAACAGAAATTAGGGGGAAGTGACAGAGAGAGTGAACCCCACATTTTAAAAAAGTTAATTTTAAAAATTCCCAATTTACAAAAGTACCAAAATATGCAAACTACTTAGGACTAAATTTGTACACTGAAAACTATAAATATTGTTAAAAGAAACTAAAGATCTAAATAAACAGTGATATACCATGTTCAGGGATTGTAAGACTCAGTGCTGTTAAGATACAAGATCTCCCCTATAAAACTATAGTTTTAACACAAAACCTGCTGCATATTTTTGAAATAGAAAGTGAACAGTTGATTCTAAAACTTACATGAACATGTAAAGACCTAAAAGGTCCCAATAATCTTAGGGAAAATGCTAGAAGACTTACCTTATTTTACTTCAAGTTTTCTCCTAAAGCTACAGCAATGCAGACAGTACTGTAAGCTCAACAGAACAGAAATGGTAATTTAGAAATAGACCTAAACATAGGTGGTCAATTGAATTTTTGCAAAGACAGAAAAGAATTTACTTGGAAAAGGGAAGTCAACAACCAATGCTGACCAACTGTAGATCTAGATGAAAAAACTCATTTTATTCCTGCCTCACACCATACATATGTTATTAATTCAAGATGGATCACAGATCTAAAAGTAAGTTAAAATTGAGAAGCTTATTTAAAAAAGAAAAATATTTTCATGACCTGGGCACAGGTAATGTTTTCTGAGGATGCAGAAACACTAGCCATAACAGAAAACTTCAATAAATTAAGCTCTATCAAAAGACTGATATAGGAATAAATAATAAACATACTATAGACCTGGAGGAAATATTCATAAAACATACTGTAGAAAGTAGTCTTATCTAGAATGTATAAAGATCTCCTAAATTCAATGATAAAAATTCACCAGAAAAAAATGAGCAAAAGATTTGAACATTTGCTTCACAAAAGAAGGAACATGAATACCTGAAAGGGCACATGAAAACATCCAAATAACATTATCTTTATTCATTAGCAAGGTATAAATTAAAAGTAAATTGAGGGCCGGGGATTTAGCTCAGTGGTTCTACCGCCTGCCTCAAAGGTGTAAGGACCTGAGTTCAATCCCTGGTACCAAAACAAAACAAAACAAAACAAAGTAAATTGAGATATTCCTTTATATATGTGTTAGTTACTCTTCTCTCGATGCTGAGACAAAATACCTGACACCCAAAGTTAGAGGGGAAGGGGATTATTTAGCTCATGGTTCATAAAGGCTTCAGTCTATAATCAACTGGCTCCAAGGTAGGGATGGCAAAAAGGCATCGAAGAGGAAAACAGTTCATGGCACCCACAAGATAGCAAAAGCAACAAGGGACCTCAGCAGTGTCTTTCTGCTCCTTTTCTCTTATTCAGACTACCAGAATAAGGGCGGTGCCAAACCAACCACTCCTGTGTAGTGGTTTAGTAATCACACGACCTTAATCCCAGCATCACACATTCTAGATTTAGCTACCTTGGAAAAAGACTGCATAAGGCTTTGGGGGTCATCTAGACACAAGCCACCATATAGCTACTAAAGTGGCTAATATAAAAAGAGACTGACAACACCAAATATTAATGGAGATGTGGTGTAAGGGGAGTGTCATGTCACTGTGGAAGTATAAAATAGAATAATCTCAGCAATTTCTTATGAAGCCAACCTTTAAAACCTTTCTTACAAAGTTACGTCTCTGGCCCAGTAATCCTCCTCAATATGTATTCCAAAATAATATATATACAAAATACTTTTAATTTAATTCAGAATAGTGAAAACTTAGAAGTAGTCTTGTTTTCCAGCAGAGGACACAGTGGTTTGTTTACAGAGTATAACCCACACATAAAAAGAAACTACCTGCTGACATGCAGCAACGTGGATGACCCTCAGACACTATGAAAACACTGGACACAAGCATGGCCACATATTAAAGGACTGCATGTCTATGAAGTTCTAGAATGGAAAATCTGACACTGGGAGAGGAAGGAGGTGGTTGCCTGGGTGGGGGCTGGGCGTGGCCAGGAAGGTCAGCTGAGAAAGGATACAAGGATCTGGAAAGCACTGTTTCCTCATTGGTGTGTGGGTTACACAGGTGTAATTCATGTGTCAGAATCACACCGTTAAAATTTGTTCATTTTAATGTATATACATTTTACCTTAAAAGAAGAACTGTAAAAATAATCAATTGAGTCATGCCTAAAGAGTGGGTGGTGCATGAATGAGGGAAGAAAGGCAGGATGTTGGTCCTTGTTGAATGTGGAGGGGGCTATTGTATTTGCTTTGTATATATTTGAGTTTTTCAATAATACATAGCACAGGGGTCCTATCCCTGAGGCAATTAGACATTAGTCTAGGAGGGGAAGGCTGTGGGTCTAAACATCAGTGATGGAGACTGCAGGTGGGGTTTAGAAGGGAAAAGGGCTCTGGGTAAATGTCAGTTGACCAAGTGAACAGAGTAGTGTAGGTCAGTGACAGCAGGAGTGGGAGGAGGGGCTGACAAAATGATCTCCTTTGCAACTCGGAGCTCATCTTCTTGTCCACGGGCTCTCCATCTGGGCACCATAGATCACAGCCTCCTTCCAACCCCAGCCTTGATTCTGCCTCCCACTCGGGTTTGTTATGACACTACTGTGTGTTCACTGCCTCAGATTCCCCATCTGTCTCACGGAGCAGGAGTTGTGCACATTTTCTTTCCTCTGGCTGTCTTCTAGCCTCATGACTTAGCCATCCAAGAGGGCTGGCAGGAGGCAGCTAGACCAAGACATGTGTGCCCAGGCAGATGGATAATTGGGCATCACATCAAACCAGTATTACTGAGATATTAGCTTGACATTTTCCTAGTGGAGATAGGAAGAAGCAGATTTTCCTTTAAGAAAAATGGCTTATTTCCTTCTTTGTGTTGCAATTAAAGAATCAATTCACTTACTAAATTAGATAACTTCTTGGGAGGCATGTAAATAAAGAGAAAACCTAAATGATGAAGTGCTGCTCCTGTTCTGTGAGAGAGCAGCCAGGCTCTTCCACACTATTCGGCCTCCGTGATATCTGACACAGCTCTCGGTGCTGTGAGCTTTAAAGTGTTCATCCGGGAATGGTCTGCCCTCAGGAGAGGCCTTGGCTCCCCCAGGTTCTCTAGAACCACATGAGAAACCTGAGTTAAAATGGTCCCAAAGTGGTTTCAGAGCAAGGCGGGACTTTCCTGGTGTGCTACAGGCAGCTGCCCAGTTGGCCCTCCTGTTGATCCAACTGAGTCTGGGCCAGGAAGCTGTGGCATCAGGCTGTGGGCAGGTGGCCCACTTAGCCTCTGGGTGACAAGAAGGCAAGAATAAGAAAGGCGCCTTTCTTGCCAGCTCTGTTTTCTGTGACCACACATCCTGAGTGGGAACTGTGCCACTGACTCCCTTGGTGTGAGTCTTGCCTGCCCCACTGTCTCCTTAATCAGCTTTGCCTAGTGGGAATCCTGAGTCCAGTAGTCCGGGGTTCACAGTCTCAGCTTAACTCCGTGAACTATGTGATCGCATCTGTTTCTCCATCGCCATATGAGGATGGTGACACCTGTTTGCTTCCCTGTGTCATGCAAATTCAGTGGAATCACGTGCAGAGTCTCTAGCAGTGCTCAGTAATGCTAGCTAAGCCAGAAACCATTCAGAAGGTGCGTTTTGCGTGGCAGGTGCTCAGTGATTATTAATACTTTGGAACACAATGCAGAAGTGCAGAATCTGTTTTCTTCCTCATTTCTGCTCTCCTCTCTCAGTTCCTCCATCTCCGTGTCATGTTGCCAAGTTGTTCACTCATCAGATAGAACCCCCAAGGTACCATGTCTTGCACTAAGTACTAAAGAATCAAACAAAACCTTAAAACAGAATCACAGTGGTACGTGTTTGTGTGTGCGTGAGTGCGTGCTTGCGTGCATGGGAGCACATGAGGATTCGGGGAGCTGGCAAGGGACACCCCTGAGTCACGGCCCTCTCTCCTCCATAGGAGATCATCACCTCCATCCTGCTGAGTGGGCGGATCGGGCCCAACATCCAGCTGGCTGAGTGCTATGGGCTGAGGCTAAAGCACATGAAGTCAGATGAGATCCACTGGCTGCACCCACAGATGACAGTGGGTGAGGTGCAGGACAAGTACGAGTGTCTCCATGTGGAAGCTGAGTGGAGGTAGGAATGGCGGTGATGGATGTGGGGTGCAAAGTTCCTCCTTAGAGTGCTCCCTGGCCTCAGAACCTTCTAGCAGATCTGAGAGGCATTCTAGACCCAGTCCTCCTGCACTGTCTGATGCACGTATTTTCAAGGCCTCACGTGGGCTCATAATGCGTCATCCTCACGTCAGGGTAGAAGTCTAGGAAACACTCCAGGCAGGATGCTGCTGGCACTGTGGTGAAGGGGAGGGCCAGGTGGATGGAGATGCCAGGCCGAGGGCTGGCCCCTGAACCTAAGGAAGACAGTTGACACAAGGGAGGGGAGCTGATGAATCACAGCTGGCTCTGAGCACTGCTCCTTGGCCACCTCTTGGTCATGGCCCTCCACCCAACCACAGAGAAGGGAGAAGAGGAGCTGGTGTTGAAGGGGCAGCCAAGAGCTCACGAGCAGCCCTTGCATGCTGGGAGGGGGTGCCTCTGCCTTGGAGTGTTGCTCTGCTCCCTGAGATTCCTGGCTCCTGTGTCAACCAGAGTCTATCCCATCACAGGTATGACCTTCAAATCCGCTACTTGCCAGAAGACTTCATGGAGACCCTGAAAGAAGACAGGACTACACTGCTTTATTTCTACCAACAGGTAAACGGTGCTCCCTTCCATGCCAAATCCTATCCACCCTCTCCTAGGGAGGTGGAAACACAAAGCCCACATTTTGGAGGCTCTTTCTAGGAAGATTCTATAAAAGTCATGGTCAGCAACTCCAACTTGTTTCTCTCTGAGCTGCTTAAATCCAAGTTAACTCATTCCTAATGCTCCCAGCACCGCTTGGGCTTCCATGGTGGCCAGGAGACCCAGCCAGTGCAGCAGAAAGAACAGGTTAACACATGGGCTCTGGGATCCTACATACCTGGTTTCTAGTCCAGCACTACCATTTAGGAACGCGGTGTTTCAGAACTTCACTCACCTGCATGAAGCTGTCTCTTCTTCTAGAAAATGGGATAATAATACTGTCTACTTATAAAATTGTTGTGAGGACTAAATTATATCATTGGCATTGTGCTGGTAAAGTGGATCTAGGAAAGAAAAAACTCTCAGGTTTGTAGCACTTGCCAATTCCCATGGTGTAAATTCTCCCATCATGGCCTATTTCAAGCTACCGACATGATGTCCACCAACACACAACACTTCTGAAAACGTGATACCGGGTTCTCTGAGCTGTTCCCAGCTACTTTTCACACTTCTAGATAAAATCAGCACCCGGTACAGCACCTGCATGGAGCAGAGTGAGCAAATACCCGCATCCTCTGTCTGCTCTCAGCTCCTCCTGCATCCCCTCTGGGTTTGCTAGACACCAAGCCAAATGTTTGCTGGACCCTGGGTGACGTCTATTCCTGCTCATCACCAGGGCTTTGGACACATTACTGACTCATCTCCAAATCTCAGTTTCCTTCTCTCCAAAGTGGGGGTGGGGAGGGGACTCTGGGCCCTGGCCTCATGGAGCAGGAGAATGTGTGTAAAAACTCCCCCAAACCCCACAGCCTCAGGATGCAGAGGCAGGAGCTCCATTTCCCAGGGTTCCATGGGGCAGGGGCAGTGCTGAAGCAGAGCCCAGCTCTGCTCTGCACCCCTGCTTCATGTGTGTTCATGGTGGGGTGACCGTGAGGCAAGGCTCGGGGCAAGAGAGTGCTCAGGGAATGGGGATGCAGGCATGAGTCTGACCCAGGCCTCTCTCCTGCCAGCTCCGGAATGACTACATGCAGCGCTACGCCAGCAAGGTCAGCGAGGGCATGGCCCTGCAGCTGGGCTGTCTGGAGCTCAGGTAGGTGGCCCTCAGGCCTGCCTTGGGAGTGCACTGTGCTATGGTCTTGGCTGGCCCAGACTGCTCCTATCTGGGGTGGAAGCAAGAGTGGGAATGTGACAGCCAGGGAGGGAAGAGAAGAGGCCAGCGCCGTGGGGCTCTGAGGTGCTTGTCATCTGATCACCGGAAATGAAGGGAGAGGAGGGCCAGCTCCACGGTGCCTGGTCCCCCCCCCACCTTGCCCTCCCCCTGCCTAACCTTGTCTCCATACTGTCTGTGTCTCCCATCTACCCATTTTCTCTGTTGCTGCTCAAGTGCTTTGGCTGGGTCCCAGGGCTATGGGAATGTGGGATCTCCAACTCCACTGCCCACTGCTGCATGCCAGCTCCAGCAAGCCCTCAGTGCACATGCAGGGGGATACACACATCATCCGGCAGTGCCAGCACACTCAGTGCCGGGAGGTGACAGATGCCTACACCAGTGACCGTAGTATGAGGCAGAGTAAAGTTGTGCCAGTCTGCCATGTAGAAGCCACTGACGCTGCTAGGGAGCATGCATTTGAGAGGCTCCTGGAAGGAAGAGAAAAATGTCACTTGGGAGATGACAGGGTAGGGGGAAGAGTTTACATTCCAGACCCAGGGATCCATGGAAGGAAAAGCATAAACTAGAGAATTTCAAGGGATCCACTTGGAGGGGTATGATGAGCTGACAGTGGAAGGCACCATTCTCCCAACAGCAGCCTAATGGCATCCTCACGTAAATGACAGACTTCACTAGATTGACAGTCTTAGAAATAAGGCCTCGTTCCTGGCTGTCAGGGAGCCACTGGCCTTTGGGACAGAAGAGAATGATGCAGCTACTTGTGCTGTAGCCTTGTCTTGACCAAGACAGTGCCACTCAGATTCACCATCACCTGCCTTTCCACCTCCCTCTGCTGCTGGTAGGTACCCTTATCTTATTCAGAGCAGTGATTGCAACTTCTGGTTACAAAACCCTTACCACCTGGCAACTTAATACACTGGAGACTCCCTACCCACCACCCGTGGACTCTGGTCCCATGGACCTGATGAGACCTTAGAAGATGTACCTTGACCAGCCTCCTAGGTAACTTGGATGTAGTCCGCCTCCCTTGTGAGGACTTGTAGGACCATTGCCGGAGTGCAGGGCCAGGGAGAGTTCTAACCTTACCCATGACCTTCAAGTTAGCAGAGAGTAGAGCTCTGCTGTTCTTCTACGGGGCTGGGGGAAGGAGAGAGAGAATGGAAGGGAAGGTGAGGGTTCCACATTGATCTCAGCATCTGAGACTGTTATTGCTTGTGAGAAAATACATCACAGACAGTCTTTTTTTATTTCCTTAAATTCTTGTATTGGTACCTTTTAGGTATACCATACATTTACATTTATCACTGGGTGTTTGTACCTGTACATGATGTATCTTGGTTCTTATTTTTTCCCCATTTCCTGTGCTCCCTTCCTCCCCTCCACCCTTCCCTATTTACAAAGACTTTGTTTCCATTTTTTTTCTTTTCTCACAATTTTTCCTTTCCCTCCTTTCCTTTCCCCTTCCCCTCCCACCACCCCTACACCTTTGGGCCTTTTCTTCCTATTTCAAATTATCAATTATTCATTTTAATCATTTTAACCCTTTTTTACACTTTCAGTTTCTCACACTAGAGAAACTATTAGGTATTTACACATGTGTATCCTATTTATTTCACTTAAAAGTATGGCGTCAATATGCATCCATTTAGCTATAAATGTCTCTAGTTTCTCATTCTTTATGTCTGAGTAGTACTCCATTTTATAAAAAACCCACATCTTCTTTATCCAGTTTCCAGTTGACGGGCACTTGGGCTGTTTCCAAGCTTTAGCTATTACAAACTGTGCTGATATGAACATGGGTGCACATATATCACTGTGGTATGATTCTTTTAATTCTTTGGGGAAGATCCCCAGCAGGGGAATAGCTGGGTCAAATGGGATTTCCAGTCCTAGTTCTCTGAGGTATCTCCATACTGATTTCCACAGTGCTTGCACCAGTTTGCACTCCCACCAACAATGAAGAAGGGTTCCTCTTTCCCCACAGCCCCGCCAGCATTTGTTATTGGTTGATTTCTTGATAGCAGCCATTCTTTGTGGGGTGAGGTGGAATCTCAGTGTTGTTTTCATCTGCTTCTCTCGACTAACCAGTGATGTTGAATATTTTTTCATATATTTATTTGCTGCTTTTACTTCTTTGTCTGAGAAATGTCTGTTCATTTCAGATGCCCATTTTTGAATTGGGTCTTTGAATTTGGGGGGTCTGATTTTTTTCAGTTCTTTATATATCCTAGATAGTAGTCCTTTGTCTGAGGTACAGCTGCTAAAAATTTTTTCCCAATTGTAGGTTGTTTCTTAGCTCTGTTGGTGGTTTCTCTTGCAGTGCAGAAGCTTTTTAGTAAGATGAGACCCCAGTTGTTTATTCTTTGTGCTAGCTTCTGCATCACAGACTGTCTTGAGGGCTGCTTATTGCCTTACGCTTGGAGTCATCTCTGTCTCAACAAGCAGGGAGCACTAGGTCCTTGATGCAGCCGTCTAAAAGTCAGCTTGCCTCCTGGCCCTGTGGTGGTCTCAGAGCTCAGTGCTGGGTCCAGGGGCAGCCTCTAAAGTTTAGTTTATCACACATGCCCTTGTCTGCCTCCCAAGACTACTGTAGCCTACAACCTACAGCCTCCCCTCTGCAATCAGATGATTCTAAGACACCTCTCTTTACCTCTGTGTTTGTGGATTTGATACTGAGGACTGTGGTCTCAGACTTTGGGACTCCACTAAGCCACCTGTCATGCATAGGTAAGATAGCAGGACAGAGAAAACCCATTAGCATTCTATTTCACATGCCTACACCCTTCAGTCATCCTCAACCTGTTACTGGTCATGGCTTAAGAGCCAGGCCCTGTGCTACAGGCTGGGGAGCCAGTGGACATCCTGCGTGGCTCTCCCACACGGTCTTGTCAGGAGTGTGCTTTCTAATCAACCCCAGACTGCTGAAAATGGTACGCTGCTCCCCATCTCCTGAGCCTGAGAAAGAGTTGGATAGGCGTCCTGTGCTGATAGCACAGGCTGTGCACAACACCTGCTTTGTAAACCTAATAGAAGATCTTCAGGCTTAATAATTTTCAAGTGAAAAAGGCAGAATACAAAGCTATCCATGATGGCATGAGGATGGGCTATTTTTAATTTGTTACAACTATTTCTATACATTTTGTGTGTGTGTGTGGAAAATCAGGCCATAGGCAGAAGCTTCAGGGCTCTAGCTCTTTCCTGAAAATCATGGACAATAGTCCCTTGTCCTTGCTACCTCATGATTGTATAACCTGCCTACAGACACATGACATCACTGGGGAAACAGGATGCATTCCTTCCTGGCTTAAAAAAAACATATGCTGTGTGCACAAGACAGATTCAAGGTGGGAATCACCAGTGGGCTCGATTCCTGTCGAGGAGGAGGGTGAAGGGCAAAGGGTCCCCAGTGGGGCTGCCCAAGGTGCAGTCAGGTCTTCCGTTTACTGTGTTCCTCTGGGCAAGCCACTTAGCCCCCCGTGCCTTGGAACTTTCACCTGGGAAATGGGACAGCAATAATGACAACACTCTGCAGGGCTGTGGTGGGGAAGAACTGGGCTATGGTATTTAAGGGATGTAGAACAACAACAGGAAAAAAAAGGCTTCAGTAATTTTTTTTATTTAGCTCATATTTCTCTGTGCCCTTATTTATTGACTTACTTATTTTTTATGTTTTTTCTCTATTATTACTTGTTTGCAATAAATAAAGATTATATTAGGGAGTAGGTACATGTACTAACATATCTTAATTCTTTTTATTCCCATTCCCCTCTCCTCCCTCTATCTCTAGATCCCTTTCCTATTTGCAAAAGGTCTGTCTCCCTGTTTCCTATTGTCTAGATTTTTAGTGGAGAGCCAGAGATTTAGCTCAGTGGCACCATCCCTGCCTCTGGAGCGCCAGGTCCTGAGTTCTATCCCCAGTACCGAAAAAAAAAAATATATATATATATATATATGTGTGTGTGTGTATATATATATGTGTATATATATATATGTGTATGTGTATATATATATATATATATAATGATGAAATTGTTGTAGATTCACAGGAGAATTGAGCAGAAGTGCAAAGATGTCTCATTTATCTCCCACCCACCTATGCGCACAGCGCCTCGATTGTCAACACACCCCACTGTGGCTGATGAAACTACGCATGCGTCAGATTACATTCGGGTTCACTGTATGACAATTCATGTATCCACATTATAGTATCGTACCAAATAGTTTCACGGCCTTAAAAATCCTCCTTGTGGGGCCAGGGATTTAGTTCAGTGGTTCCGGTGCCTGCCTCACAAGCGCAAGGTCCCGAGTTTGATCCCCGGTACCAATAGAAAAAAAAAAAATCCTCCTTCTGGGCTGGGGATATAGCTCAGTGATAGAGAACTTGCCCTAATGCATGAGGCCCTGGATTTAATCCACAGCACTGCAAACCATCATCATCATCATCATCATCATCTTCATCTTCATCATCATCTCTGTATTCCTCTCTCCCTCCTCCCTAGTCCTGGCAATCACTGGTCCTCTTACTGCCACCATACTTTGACCTTTTCCAGAATGTCTTACAGTTGGAATGATGCCTAATTAATTTTTTATTGATTTATTCAGCATGCTTATAAATTCTAGATATATTGATTTCTTTAAATACCCCACTATGTATAAGGTAAAATTTAAAATTCATAACAAATATGCTAGAAATTAGTGCCTATCTAGCAATCAAATAACTTGTCCTCCTTGACCTCAGCCAGCCGGTGCCATTGTCCACCCCCGGCAGAGTCTCAGAATGCGCTGACCGAAAACTCACAGTGAATGTGTAACCAGAGATTTATTAAGTAGTAACTGATAATAGGTAAGGATTAGCAGAGAAAGAACAGCCTTGCTTTACTTCGAAAAACATTTGGGCTTGGAGCTAATTTACAAATGTTGGTAACGAGTTTCTATTTTTAATCACTGTTTAGAAGAAAAACGCAGCCAACTGGGTTTTTGCAGAGCTGTGTCTTTGTTTCCTGCGTCCTTACCAGGGTTCTCAGTGGGGATTGCTCCAGCCAGGGCCTTGGTGGCTCCCAAGTGGAGGCTTGGGCTTGCAGGACCATTGAGCACGAGGGGTGCTCCCAGCGGGGCAACCTCGCCCGGGGCTGGCGCCTGGAGGGGTTGGATGTCCGGATCACTGGTTCATAGCAGCGACCTGAGTGTCATCACGGTAGACTGCTACTCACTCTCTGGAGAGAGCAGGGCTGGAGAAGGGGCTGGGTGGGGACAGAGGAGTGAGCTAAGCAGGCCACGCAGGCGACTGGGCTGGCCAGGGTGTGTTAGAGAGCTTCCTGCTTGCGGTACATTTTTTCCTTCTACCTCCTTGGTTATTCTAAAATTGCTATTATTTTTCACACGTCTTACTTTTGAAGTATTAATTCCAAAACTCTTTTAGCTTCTATTTAGCTACCCTCATTTTTTTTTTCAAATTTACTGTTTAAATACCCAAGTCTCCAAAATTCTTCTACTGCAGATCTCAAAGTCCGTTCATCCATTCATGCGTTCACCCAACAACAGACTTTGACCAGGAGTGACTTTAAGATCCACGCTCTGGAAAGCAGAGCTCAATGCATCCTGCCTGAAATACTCTCCTCATTCCCCTCTTCAGCCTAGTAAAGTCTTCTTTTTTTACATTTTATTTTTGACCAAGACATGGTAATTGTACATATTTATAGACATCTATTATTTCTTGGTGGTGAGAACATTAAAAATTCTCTCCTAGCTTTTTGAACTATGTGCATTATTCATGGATTTTTTTTTTTTTTTTTTTTGGTATCGAACTTCAGTCCTTGCACTTGCGGGGCAGGTGCCGGAACCACTGAGCTAAATCCTCAGCCCTGTGAAGTATGTGCATTATTGTTAGCTCTTCCCCCTACTCTGTGGAGGAACAACAAAGCTTATTCCCATTCTCCGGCTCTATCATTGCACCTGGGGTCAGGAGGTAAGGAGAGGTTGGTAAATAACTCTCTTTCCTCTCCTGGCGGCACCCCCCCCCCCGCCCCCCGCCACACACCAGGCCATCTACTGGGTGATGCTTAGGTCATGCTTAGGTAGGTCCCGGAACAATCCCCTTGCTTGAGTTGTGCTTTCAAGTTGCAACAAGAGGGGGAAAACATTGAAATTGCCTTCTTATTTTTTGTTAAATCAACACTGAGAATATTGGTTTTCTTTTAATTGGTAGTTTTTCAAAATTTTTATTTTAAGGAGTAAATCTCTGTTTTATGGGAAAAATTTTCATTCAATAGATTATTCATGAAATTAGGCCTTCTATCCACACCCTGACAGCCCGGATAACCAAACCCCGAAGTACACTAAAGGGAAAATCCAGAGTTCTGCTCTGCCCTTGCCATATTCTTTATTTCATTTCCTGATTTCCTTCTAGCTCTATGTAATTTAACATATTTTAAAACTTTCTATACCTTCACCTTTACTTGGAAGAAGAAAAGATAGAAATATTTTTCAGTAGTGTAAAACAAAATAGGATTCAGTAGTAGTTACTGAGCCATCATAAGCCATGTTATGGCCTCTTAATCCTCATTCAAATGTACTCATCCATGATTGTGTAAGAAAAATTCATGTAGGAGATGTTTTATCTTCTGCTTCCCTTCCATTCCAGTCTCTGGTATGTAGGACAGATTCAGCCTGCCCTAGATGTAAAAGGGCCTGTGCTGCTCTCACTGTGTCTCCATTCTTTTTATTCTTTCTGTTATTTTGCATCACCTTTGAAGTAATTGAGGGTGATGCACTGGTGGTGCTGGTGGTGGTGGTGGTGGGGGGGGGTGTGTATGTGTGTGTGTGTTTGTGTGTGTGTGTATAAGTTGGAGGCTGGAAGATGAGGGCAGAACAATACAAGAAGGTCATAATAAAGATACTTTTCTTTCAAACATATGACATCTAAGGAAGGAATTAAACTCAGTCCCCAAAGCTCCAGGGGAGCAGGAAGTGGAAGGAGCAGCAAAGAAGAACATTCATCCAAGCACGTGGGTAGCAGTGGATCAGGGGAGCTAGGCAGGAAGGGAAGCTCAATTTACACTGCTGTGCTTAGACTCACTTACTGCCTTGAATTATCTTCAGGTAAAACATAATACTTGTCCAATGTGGAATATGAGGAACATGTAGGAAGGGGCAGGGGAACCTCCTAAAATGACCTGGAATGCAGTTAACCAGGAATAGCCCATTAACACAGTAGCTGCATTCTGATTTTCCCCAATGTATTTATTTTTCTAAATTGAGATCCTTATTTGTTGAGAGATAACTACTCATATTGCTTGACAATATATTAAAAGACAACATTCACTGAAAAATCTTAAGGTCATAACATTCCATGTTTTATGATTTTTATTTGGGGGTTTCTGCCTTGGTTTCATGCTTTAAATGTTCTTTTTGACCCTGGAAATGTTTGGAAATATTTCTCTAGCTTCTTTTTAGTTTTGAAATGGTTTTATTGTTTGTATTTATCCTTTCATCCATTGGGAATAAATATTCTAGATGTACAGTGTGGGGTGTGGAGCTACCCTTTTATTTCCTGAACACAATGAACTGTCTAAATTCATTGCTTTTGAATCGCAAGCTTTTTTCCTCTTTGCTTGTAGTCTTAGTAGCATAAAACCGTTTCTAGATGTCTGTGGAACACCTGGATTAAAGAAACACTGGGTAACTCTAATGTAGGATCAAGAGCAGGACAATGTCTGCAACAGTCAACAAAATTGCTAGAAACAGTGGTCCTGACAGGGAAGAGAGCACACATGGGTACACTGTCTCTTCGGTGTCCACTTAAGCCACCATTGCTACAAATAAATAATACAGTGATGTATCCTTTAACAATGGAGATACATTCTGTAAAATGTGTCACAGGGTGATTTCATTGTGTGAACATCATAGTGTGTATTTATACAAATAAAACACTTACGGTGACACCAGAGGTGATATAATCTCATGGGATCACTATTATATGTGCAGTCTGTTGTTGACCAGAAATATCATTATGTGGCATCTGACAGTATATAAAAATCTTTCTCAACACATACATTTTTAGGAAAAGTGGAACTTAAAGAATATGTATAAAAATATTAATAGATATCACTTCTAGTGATAGGATTATGGACTCTTCTTTTTCTGTTCTGTAGATTTTAAAGTTCTTATATGCACATCTAAGGATTATTTAGATGAGCACATAAACATACACACATAACATTTCAGAGACAAAATATAAATGAAAAGGAAATCACTAAGAGACACAGGACCAGAAGGAGGAGCTCGTGCTCCAGCCCTGTGTCTTCTGAGACCACAGAGCCGCCATCCTTGTTCTCAGTCAGCCTACTGAGCAGTCGGGGCTGGGTCTCCCTGAGCACCAAGCTGGTATCTTTTTAAGAACGAAATTTGTGAAATTTCTTTTTCCTCACAGTTTTCTAACTACCAATTTGGGCTCCTCCAGCTTTTTCGCTTTCTGTGATTCCCACAATTGGCCGGGGAAGGAAGTTTCTAGACCAACTCCAGGGCCCTGAGGGCAAGGCTCAGTCTCAGCCATCAGCCCACCCGCCATGCTTTCTCTTTCTGTCTCTCCAGGCGGTTCTTCAAGGACATGCCCCACAACGCCCTTGACAAGAAGTCCAACTTCGAGCTCTTGGAGTAAGTCCGAGGACTGGCAGGCCCCTGCTCTTCTCCCTTCCTGCTAGCCCCGATTTTTCTACACCCTCTCTCCCACTCACCCCCAGAGCAGGGCCCGCAGCCTCGTGTCCCTGGCCCCCAAGCCCCCTCATCTCCTCCTGATTGGCATGAAGTCCGGCTGAGGGAGAGATGAGTCAAATGTGTTTCTGTTTCCCTTCTTTCAGAAAAGAAGTAGGGCTGGACCTGTTTTTCCCCAAGCAGATGCAGGAGAACCTAAAGGTGAGCAAACCAGAGGCCGGGGTTTCCCGAAAGTGCCCTTCATGCAGGTCCGTGGGGCTAGAGCTGAAAAGATCCGGCTGGGGCCTCGAAGAGCAGCCTGTGTATCTGCGCTGCTAAATGCACCCTGCGGAGCACGTCCGCGGCTGAAATCAGGAGGGGATGCCCTTGGCTCCGGGCCGGGCCGGGAGTCCAGTTCACTTCCTGGCCTGCCTGGTCGCCTCACGGGCTGGGAGACCCGGGCACGTGGTAGGGAACAGGTCAGGGCCTCTGTCCCGGAGGGGTGTTGGGGATCACCCTCCAGCGGAGGCAGTCTTTCGGTCTTTCGGAGAGGCCTAAGGGAAGGAGCGGGCGCAGAGGAGCCGGCCTGGCTCAGCACCGCCCGCCTCCCGCAGCCCAAGCAGTTCCGGAAAATGATTCAGCAGACCTTCCAGCAGTACGCCTCGCTGCGGGAGGAGGAGTGCGTCATGAAGTTCTTCAACACCCTGGCCGGCTTCGCCAACATCGACCAGGAGACCTTCCGCTGTGAACTCATTGTAATCTCGCGCTCCCCTCACCCTGCGCCCGGACGGGACCTGTTGGGGACTGGGCGGGTTCTTGCTCCCTGTAGGTGCTCGGCAACAAGGATTTTTGAACCGCCCTCCAGTGGGAATCACGCTGGCTCTGATTGGGGTGGGCGGAGCGGGCAAGGGCGGGGAGGGAGGAGGTGCAGGAGAAGGGTTTAGGGTGGGAGGAGGCGGAGCGGTCCTTGTCTGGCTCTGTTAGCTTTTCTTCCGGTTCCTGAATGTGAGGTGAGTTAGAACCAGGGACAACAAGCAGTGCCCTCTCCTTTATTCCAGCAAGGATGGAACATTACCGTGGACCTGGTCATTGGCCCTAAAGGCATCCGCCAGCTGACAAGCCAAGATGCAAAGGTGGGGAGGGCCAGAGGGGAGGCCCCGCCTCACCCAGCCCCCAGCCCTTCTGGCAGTCTTCCCCCTTTCTGCCTCCCACCCCCCATGCTGACAGCAGGACCGCAGAGCCCCTAGAAGACCACCCTCCCCTTGGTACAAGCTCTGCAGAGCAAGGGTGGGGGTAACAGGGCAGAGCACACGGCCTTCACTTTCCTGGGACTTTGCTCTGCACATGGGGGAGGCAGGTGGGAGGTGGGGAGAAGATGCATTGGCATTCTTCCAGCTCCCAGAGGAGAGGTGCCTGGCGAGCTAGTGACTCCCTGGAATCTGGGTCCTGGGCCCAGGCCTGAGTTTGTAGCCAACTTGGCATATGACCTGGGGCGAGCCCCGGTTTCCTCCTCTGCAAAGTGAGGGCTTGGATCAGTCGGTCTTTCCAGCTTTGCCTCCCAGAGAGACTCCCAGCCCCTCCTGTCCCTCTGCATGGCCAGGCCCCGTGGTGGGACGGCCCAGTGAGCCCCTTTCTTCCTCGCCCACAGCCCACCTGCCTGGCCGAGTTCAAGCAGATCAAGTCCATCAGGTGCCTCCCGCTGGAGGAGGGCCAGGCGGTGCTGCAGCTGGGCATCGAGGGCGCCCCCCAGGTAAGCATCAGGGTGCCGGCCCAAGGTGGGCATCACTGCAGGCTGGACATGGAGGGGCCGGAGCAGGCAGGGGGCCAGGGATTCCCTGGCTTTGGGAATTTTACAAAGAAAACTGTATCCAGTACCCGAACAAGGTACCAGGATAAGGATCAGTTATGAGGACATTCAGGAGACATTAATTCTTTTTACCTGAATGTCAGGAAAGAAGTTGGGAAAGCTATAGGGCAGATCAAAGTGACCTGAAATCAGGTACAAATCAGAGGCCCAACATTCGCCAAATGACCAATGAGGCACAAATCAAGAGGGCAGACTTTCGTCTCTGTCTTTTCACCAGTCTGTCCCTGTCCCTCCCTCTCACTTTCCGTCCTGGGTTTCTGCCTTTACACCTTGATCCCAGGAAGGTACGGGGCATGGAGTTCTCCAGCACAGCTGAATGAGGCCAGGTGATCCGTGGGAGGGCTCCCCCTGGTGGTGACAGGGGCTGCAAGCCGAGTGGAGGAGAGGTGTGGGGGACCTGGGCCTGAGTGTGGAGGCCTCTTTGCCAGCCCTGTGGGTACCGTCCAGCCAAGACTCACTTCCAGCTGGTTTCTTCTCCGCAGTCTCTGTCCATCAAAACGTCCTCCCTGGCAGAGGCCGAGAACATGGCTGACCTCATAGATGGTTACTGCCGGCTGCAGGGGGAGCATAAAGGCTCGCTCATCCTTCATCCCAAGAAAGGTGGGTGTCCCCTTCCAGGCAGGGTGGCCCAGCGGCAGCACAGCTGGGTCACACCGGCCGAGCAGAGCAGAGCAGCTTTGCTGTTGGCCTGGGAGCCAGTGCAGAGGCTTGAAGAGTGTGGGCAGCGGTGGTCGCACTGCCCGCTGGTGCTTCCTGTGGGCCCTCCCTGGGGCGTCAGCTCAGGCCTGGCCCTGGCTGGTCACCTCTGGTCCTGAGATGCACAGGTACTGCTTCAGGAGCAGCCGTGTTTGCAGCCCCTCTAGGCCGTGGCTGGTCCTTCCTGTGTGTGGCTGTTTGGGGTTGGGGCCAGAGCGCAGGTCTGGCCTGAAGCAGGTGGTGCCCCGGGGTGGGGCCTCAGTATTCCTCTTTGCAGAACTGTCACCCTGGTGCTGACTGGGGAGCAGCAACAGCAGGGAGGGGAGCCTTGTAGGAGGAGTGAGAGGGCCAGCGTCCATCCAGGCCCCCTGTCCCTGGCTCCAACCTTCCCCACCCCTCTCTGTCCCCAGAGGGCGAGAAGCGGAACAGCCTGCCAAGGATCCCCATGCTGTGAGTACCTCAGGGAGGCCAGGGCTCAGCCTGTGTCCTTGGGGAGGAGGAGGAGCACTCAGGGCCTGCCACACTGCCCCAATTCTGGGAGAACACTGCCATCTCGGCGTCTCACAGGGCCTCTGTCCCCCAGTACGCACTGGCAGGCGTGTTTCCTGTGCCACCTGGCACCACACTGTGGGGGGAGGGGTCACTGCTCTCAGCTTGTCACCAGCCAGGCCGGCCCCTTCTGCAGTGGCACGGTGGGCCAGGGGTGCCAGAGCTGCCTGGGGGAGCCATGCCCAGTTCTGAGTTCACCTGGCTCCTCCCTCTGCCCTCTTCCCACAGAAACCTGGAGGCTTGGCGGTCCCACTGCTCAGAAAGTTGCAGCGTAGGTGAGCCTGCCGGCCACCCTCTGCCTGCTGGTGCTCGGCCTCCCTCCTCCTCACCCCTCCTGCCTGTCGCAGTGATTTACGGGCAGGCCCTCCGAGTACAGAAGCTGTCACTCCTCAATGAATGCTTTAAACAATCATTCATGGTAACGGTCGATCGGGTGCATAGCGGGTGGCTAGGACATGACATGGTGTTTGTTTTAGCTCAGATGGCCCCAAGCAAAATGCCACAAAATGCGGGGTGGCTTGAAAGCCAACATATATTTCTGTGCTCGTGGCTGCAAGTCCAAGATGAAGGTGCCACAAGATTCTGAGTCTGCTGACGACCTGTTCCCAGTTTGCAGATGGCTGTCTGCTCATTGTGTGTTCATGTTGCAGAGAGAGCTCTGGTCTCTTCTCTCCCCTCCCCTCCCTCACCTTTCTCTCTCTTCCTCTTAGAAGGACACACTATTCCTGTAGTGGGGCCCCCACCCTCATAACCTCATCCAGCCCAGTCACTCCCAAAGGGCCCACATCCTAAAGCCATCACGTTATGGTTTAGAGTTTCAACATGAGTTTGGGGAAGACACAAACATCTAGTTCATGATGGTACCAAAAGTAACAAGAGATTAACCAAGTTGCCCTAAATAACCCAACTGGGAAACAGCAAGCAGGGACTCAAGCTGAGGTGCTCTGGGCTCTGTGGTTGACACAAAGCCTGGGACAGGACTCTGGGAGTCACCTGGCTTCTCCCCTGTCGCCACCCCTTGGCTGTGTTGGCCTCCAGCTCTCTTGGTTCCTGGCCCTGCCCAATGAGGGCACCTTGCCCATGGTCTGGGCCTCTTCCTGTCTTTCCAGAGTCGGACATCTATGCAGAGATTCCAGACGAAACCCTGCGGAGGCCAGGAGGTAGGTCCTCAACCCTACCACAGTGACCACAGTCAGGGCCCTGGGAGGTGACATGGTGGGACTTTCGGGGAATATTCTGTCCTTCCTCCATTTTCCCTGTGTGCTCAGACAGGCAAAGCTGAGATGCTTTATTGGACAGCTGAGATGTACCTTTGGGTCTTGCATGGGGCCCTCTGGCTGCCTGGAGTTTCTGGGACCCAGGCCACGGGGAGATGGCCCTTCCGTGGGTTGGAGACATTGGAACGTTCTCAGCCCAGGTCCTGGATCTCGGCCCAGGGCCTGCTGGAGGTCTGGGGGAGCCCAGTTAGATCCCACAGGGGATGCCTGCCCATCTCTACCCAGGCGCTCTGTTTCTTTGTGCAGGTCCACAGTATGGCGTCGCCCGCGAAGACGTGGTTCTCAATCATATTCTTGGTGAAGGCTTCTTTGGGGAGGTCTACGATGGGATGTACACGAATCACGTGAGTCCTGGACTCTTCCCCAGGGGCTCTGAGCCAGTTGGAGGTGGCAGCTGCCCACACAGCCTGGGGATGTTAATGAAACACCCAGGGAGGGGTGGGGTTAAAGGACACTCCTGAGAAGGGTGGCCAAGTACGGGGGAGTGAAGTAGAGGCAGAACCTGGGGAAGGGTCACCAAGGCTGGGTGGGAGGATCTGGAAGAGGATGCACTCCTGGAAGAGGAAGGGCAGGGTGCAGCTAGCTGGCTCACTTGATTCCCAGCCACGGAAGGGCCGACTAGCTTTGCCGCTGAGGTCCTGCCTCCAGCAGGCTGGAGAAAGCAGGTGAAGGAAAAGGGGCCACGATATAAAACAGCACTAAAGAGGGAGAAAAGGGCCTGGGCCGTGTCTGATGGGGCCCCCCCTTTGCCCAGCAAGCTTGGGCAGATCACATGGCTCCTGGGCACAGCATCCTCTTCCGACTGCCTTTCCCAGGTCTAACAGAGCCCGATCAAGCAGAAAGAGACAGAAAAGGAGAGAAAGAGAAAAGGGGAGAGAAGGGGGTGACGACGTTTCAGGGTGAGGCAGGTCAGCTGCTTTCCCGAGGCTGGGCCTCCTCTGTGGGCCCCGTGCTGAGGCCGGGAGGGGAGACTCTCTTTTGAGCACTAGGCTGCACCAAGATCCCTGAACACAGTCTTATTGCAGAAAGGGGAGAAAATCAGTGTGGCCGTCAAGACCTGCAAGAAAGACTGCACTCTGGACAACAAGGAGAAGTTCATGAGCGAGGCAGGTAGGCGTCCCCTTGCAAGGCTTGGGGCCTGAGAGGCCCCGGTGCTCCAGGACCCTGGGAAGGGGCCGTGTGAGCAGCCACAGGACCCCGCTGGAGGAGGGCTTCTCGCTGGTGGCGCGGCAGGTTGCCTCGGTCCTGTGTGACCTTGAACCGTCCGCTGTCCTGCTTGCCCCTGCAGTGATCATGAAGAATCTTGACCACCCGCACATTGTGAAGCTGATCGGCATCATCGAAGAGGAGCCCACTTGGATCATCATGGAATTGTATCCCTACGGGGAGGTGAGTGGGATGGAGGCGGCAGACCCTGAGGACAGCTGGGCCACAGCTGAGCCACAGCTGAGCAGGGCACGGAGCCATTTAGAGCAAGGGACCCTTCTCCCAGCCTCCTGCCTCCTGAAACACGGGCCTTGCTGGTAGAGGAAATCCTCGAAAGTCTTCCTACCTATGGGTTTGTCCCCAAAGGGGAGGAGAGGTTGGTGACTTCCAACAGCCTGGCCCTGGCTCCAGGCTGGAGCCAAACAAGGGAGCTGATAGCACCTCTCCTCCCTGCAGCTGGGCCACTACCTGGAGCGGAACAAGAGCTCCCTGAAGGTGCCCACCCTCGTCCTGTACTCGCTGCAGATTTGCAAAGCCATGGCCTACTTGGAGAGTATCAACTGTGTGCACAGGTAGGCGCAGTGGGCAGGGCTAGGGAGTAGCCTGTGCCCAGCAACTCAGAGGCCTGAGCAGCCTCTGTGGCCCACTTCCTCCCCTGGAAGCTTAAAGTAGACGTGTGGATCCCAGGCACTGTTACTCAGAGTAACCTTGAAGGCTACAGTGTCTGCCTGCAGCTCAGTACCTCCGGCCTCCCTGTGGGGCCAGGAAGGGTCCCCACCTACCCCAGAGCTCCTCTCCTCTGGCTCACTGGCCCTCTAGGTAGCAAATGGTCCAGGAATAAAGGACTGAGCTAGAGAAGCAGCAGAAGATGCTGAGGTCCCACTGCACCCTGGCCCCCAGCACCCCTGTGGCTGTGCAGTTGGTCCTTCCCTCACTGGCTTCTCCATTCCTTCATGTATTCATCCACTTGCTTGGCCAGTGATATGAAGTCCCTACTCTGGGCTGGGCACTGTCCCAGGCCCTGGGACAAAGTCATGATCAAACAGACAGAAATCCTTTCCCTTGGGAAGCTTACACTCCAGCAGGAGGGTCAAACACCAGATCTCAGTAGGCAGGCCGAAGGCCATGGGATGATAGATTTGTTCCCTTGCTTGTTTGGAGTCGCATGCTTTCAAGCCATCTTTTCAATAATAGAAATGAGCATGTGGGGCCGAGCTGCCCGAGAAGCCAGCAGGCACTGGGGTAGGGAGTGGAGCCGAGACATGAGGGGACCCCAGGGATCACAGGCTCCTCTTGGGGAGGCTGAGAGCTCAGCTCTGGAGTCAGCTGCCTGGATGGGGCCCTCTTCCTGCCTGAAATTTGCTAGAGACCTTCCAGGGCCCCAGGGCAGCTCCTCACCTGGCCTTCACATCCTTCCTACAGGGACATCGCTGTTCGGAACATCCTGGTGGCCTCCCCTGAGTGTGTGAAGCTGGGTGACTTTGGCCTTTCCCGGTACATTGAGGATGAGGAGTATTACAAAGGTGAGGGATGTTCTGGCCACAGCTGTGCCCCTGGATGGGTCCTGAAGCCCAAATCCCAGACACAGGGATCCTGCAGTTGGGCAGCCCAGGTCAAGCAAGGGTCTGTATTTCTAGAAAAGTCTGGATCTTTCTTCCCTCAATAACTCCCATAAACCTCTTTGCCCACCCAAAGCCTCTGTGACTCGACTCCCTATCAAATGGATGTCCCCTGAGTCCATCAACTTCCGCCGCTTCACGACAGCCAGTGACGTCTGGATGTTTGGTGAGGGTGTAGAAAGGATCTCAGATCCTCAGCCCCGTAGGCCGGTGAGAGGGGGGCACGGGGACTCTCCTGGGTGCCCAGGGTCCTGCTCAATGTGGGTGCTGAGAAGTCCTAGAGGTGGGGAGGTGGGTGGTGGAGGGAGGGCACTTGGGACTCGGGCTGGCCTGGGCAGTATGGGTTTATCTTCCTGGAAAAGGCTTTGTGACAGCCACAGGACTAATGAGGGACACCCTGGGTGCCCCTCACTGAACACAGGGCCCTGTCGATTCCCTGCCAGCTCTCCCGCAGCTGACCCCGTCAGGTCTCACTGTTGTTACTGCCCTTTTCCAGACAAGGAAACTGGGGCTCCATCAAGTCAGGGGCTTGCGGAGGGTCACACAGGCAGCAAGCGTTGGTGCTTGGCTTCCAACTCCAGCTTTCTGCCGGGCTTCACAGCCTCCCATGAGAAGGTGCTGGCCATCCCAATGCCAGCCGCCTCCCGATCCCAGAGTCCTAATGGCTCCTCTGGAGGTTACAGGAGGGACAAATACACGCAGGTCGCTGGTCTCTTGGGTGGATGACCAAGCAGGGTGCGGGAGGGGAGGCGAGCCATGGGCGCTCTGGCTGTGACCGAGCCCCGCTGGGCAGTTGTTCCTGGGAGGGTTGAAGGGCCTCTCCCAGCACTGGCTGAGCCTCCCCTCGGCCCCCAGCCGTGTGCATGTGGGAGATCCTGAGCTTCGGGAAGCAGCCTTTCTTCTGGCTGGAGAACAAGGACGTCATTGGCGTGCTGGAGAAAGGGGATCGGCTGCCCAAGCCCGACCTCTGTCCGCCTGTCCTGTACACCCTCATGACACGCTGCTGGGACTACGACCCCAGTGACCGGCCCCGCTTCACAGAGCTCGTGTGCAGCCTCAGGTGAGCCTGGGGGTGGAGCTTGGGCAAAAGACGAAACGGGGCCCCAGAAAGCCTGGCTCAGCTCTGCACCACAGACAGCTTCCTGTGCTTCCAAGTCACCCTGTGCAGCGGGTGTCTTTGTTCCCACCTGGCGGACAGGAGAGCTCAGGTTTAAAGTTAGTAATCTGCCCAGGGCAGCGACAGGGGTCTGGGACTTGCACCTCGACCTCCCTTCTGACTGACACTGAGGGCAGTGCCCTGTGCAGGGAGCTGAGGCCAAGTTCACTGTCAGATGTGAGCTCAGACGGGGAGCTGGGGAAGCCTTGCTTACCTCAGGGCCTTGCTCATAGTAGTGCCCTACAGATGCTGCCTTGGTTGGAATCCAAAGGAGACCAGACTCGCACGTGAGCGAGTGCCCATACTTTGTAGAGTTTGAGCCACTTGACTTTGCTTGTCTTGCCTCTCCACTTTGAGCTTCCTTCCCAGTTAGCAAGGAAGGGAGTACTTTTTGACTCGTTATTAATGCTGCAACCCAGGGGCCACCTCTCCCTTGTGATCAGGGTTAGGGGGCCTGAAATTCTGATCCTTCTCAGTGCCCAGCAATTATTATTCCCCTGGGGTAATGGGGCATCACTGGTGAAAGATGTTCCCCATTTTAGGGGTACTGGGTCCCCCAGCCTCCTTGGAGGTGAGCCTATTATCAGCTCTCCTGAAGGTGGTCAGATACTTTATTTTTGCTTCCTTTAGGGTGGGAGTCCAGCAGACTTTTTCTGTAAAGGACCAGATAGTAAACATTTGGGGCTTTGCAGTCTCTATAGGTCTCTGTTGAATTTCTCCAGCTCTGGAAGTTCAGATTGAAAACAGCAAGAGTGAATGTGCTCAATCAAACTTCATCTGGACATGGACATTTGAATTTCACATAATTGTTGCATTTCTTTCTTTCTTTTTTTTTTTTTTTTTTTTGGTACCGGGGATTGAACTCGGGTCCTTGTGCTTGTGCAGCAGGCAGCGAAACCACTGAGCTCAATCCCCGGCCCTAAATTTTTTCTTTTTCTTTTTTTTTTTTTAAGCTACTTTTTTTCGGGGGAGCAGGTACCAGGGATCGAACTCCGGTCCTTGCGCTTGCCAGGGAGGTGGCAGAACCACTGAGCTAAATCCCCGGCCCTGTTGTTGCATTTCTTAAGAGATTTTTTCCTTTTACTTTTTTTGATCCCTAAAAATGTGAGAATTATTCTTACTTTGAAGTCATATAAAAATAGCTGGGAGATCAGCTTGAGCCTGTGGCCCTACTGCAGACCTCTCCTTCTGAGAATTCCTACTCAGTTACCTTAAATACTGTGGTGTTAATGTGCTGACCTGTTTTTGAGGACAAGAAAATAGCCCCTAGAGATGCCTGGTGGGAAGGCTCCCTGGAGGAGGCTGGGAGTACCCAAGTCTCCCAGGGGGACAGCAGGGATGACCCTGCTAATGTTTGTGGGGTCCCCAAGACAGTCTGCAAAAACCTCACTTCAAAGGCTTTTCTGAGCCCGCCTGTACCTTCCTTAGCTCTCTTGATTCATTCTGTACTCATCTCTGTCCTTCATGGGGGAGATTCAAGGAGCCAGAGAATGCAAGGAAATTACTTCGAAGTTGGAATTTGAAAGGGCAGAAGCTCTGGGGTAGAGAAGACTGTTTTAATGCCAAATTTTGAGAATTTTCCCATCTAATGACTGTTTTAGTATCCTTCGATCAAAATGTTGTAAGCCACGACCACAGAACCATGCATACATATTTGTAAACACAGTAGCACGTAGTATACATTCAATAGTACATAACACTTGGTATTCACTTAAACATGTGGATTCATGGGCCCCCTGCAGTAATCCCAAAGGTCCCTGGGCTCTGAGACTGTCATGTTGAGAAGCACTGAATTGGACTGGACAGGAGAGAGACACAAGCATGTCTAATCTCAGAGCGAGTCCACGGGCTCCAGGGGCACACACCAGGGATGAGCGGCTGGAATATTTAATGAGATGTCACACGGAGGCCAGCACCACGAAGTGGGCAGGAGCACCGGAACTCTACACAGGGCACTGGGGCCAACACCAGGCTCAGGAGGGCAGCAGGCAATGAAGAGGGGCCGCTGCCCCAAGCTTCTGCTGCCCAGTGGGGCAGGTTCTGGCTCTCCAAGGACTTTTTCTCATCGTGGACCCGTCCTTGTGACTCTCACCAGCTCGGTGCAGGGTGACTGCAGGCTGCATGTCCCAGTCTGTATCAGAGGGTCTCTCCGGGCACCACAGGGCAGATGGAGAAGGGAATTGGACACAGTGGTGCTCGTCCAGGCCTCTCCTGGTTCCAGTGCATCCCAGAGGGGAGGCCCGAGGAGCATCTCACATCGACCCTGTTTCTCTCCCTATCTGACTTGGCTCCTGGCAGTGACATTTACCAGATGGAGAAGGACATTGCCATAGAGCAGGAGAGGAACACTCGCTACCGACCCCCCAAAATCTTGGAGCCAACTATCTACCAGGAACCCCCACCCAAGGTAAGCAAGCCTTCGCCTTGCTAGTGCCATGACTCACAGCAGAGCCAAGTCCCTATATGACTCACTGCCCTCTCATAGCCTAGACAGGACGCTCCCCACAACCTTCCCTGAGCCCTGCAACCCAGCTCTCTGTCAGCCTCATCACCTCTGTGCCCAGCAGCTGGAGTCTGAGATTCTGGACACCTTGTGGGAAAGCTGAGTCAAGAATCAGCCCTCAGGTTTCCCTTGGGAGACTGGGTGCTTCTCTTCTGGGAGCTTTCTAGGGATAAACTAGATCCCCCGAGGATACATAGATCTCAGGCCCAGTCTCTATGTCCAGGGCAGCCCTAGGCTCAGGAGCCAGGGCCCCACTAGCCCATCCTTAGGTAGGTTGGTTTCCAGAAACCATGCCCGTATTAGTGAGCTAGAGCTGCCATAGCCAATACATGGAGCCACATGCACAACAGACACGTGCAGGTCTGCAGGCCAGGAAATCCAGGATCCAGGGCCAGCACCTGTGGTACCTGGTGAGGGGCCCTTTTTGGCTTGCAGGCTACCTTTGCACGGTGTCCTCACCTGGCCACCTGTGGCCTCTGGTTTCACTCTTACAAGGCACCAGTCTAATCATGGAGCCCCGCCTTTATGCCCTCATGTGACACTCATCACCTCCCAAAGTCCTCACCTTCACTGGGGCAGGACTTCAGCTACAAATTTAGGAGGTGGGGGTACAAACATTCACTTCATAACAATCCCTGGTCTGTTACAAGGCCTTTTCTCATTGTCCTCCCTGCCTGGCATGTGCTGCCCTTTCACTCGGGTCCATCTCCATAAAGCTCCCATGAGTCCTTGAGCCCTCGGTAACTTCCTGCTTCTAAATGTCTGCAGTTGCTGTTTACTGATTGGCAGGTGCTCCTACACACAAGAAGGGCTCCCCGCACTGCACACACACACCCCATTAACCTTCCACATGCAACTAGTGCTCAGCAAGTACATGCAAAGTGATTTTAATGATGACTTTGGCCCCCATCTGCCCTTCATTGTGAACTGGTCCACGTTGCCTCTGGCCTGATGGTCCCCTTGGTGGGTTGTGTTCACTCCAGGAGAGACAGTGACTGACATAACCCTGTGTTTCCTCTGCAGCCCAGTCGCCTCAAATACAGACCCCCTCCGCAAACCAACCTGCTGGCTCCCAAGCTGCAGTTCCAGGTATACATGCAGACGGGGCTAGGGAAGGTCAGGGCCCCCCGCCATGGAGGTGCTTGCTGAAAGTGCATCCCTGTGCCTTCAAGGGGTGGCACACGTCTGCTCGGGCCGTGGAGATGGCCAGGGTTGGCCCTTCTTGGGCATCCAGGGCAAAATTTGAACACAGATCAAAAGAACAGAAATTTGGTTCTGCCAGGCTAAGAAGACCTGGCTGCCACCCAGTCATCTGTCTTCAGTGTCTGTTGCTTCATGTGCCTGCCTGCAGCTGGCTTCTCATGCCTGCAGCTCCCCTGGTCTCTATGCTGAGGAGGAGTTCCACAGAGCTGGGGACCAGAGATGTCCCCAGAGAGTGGAATTGCTCCCTGCAGAGGCTCTGGCCAGCACCCGGTAGCCAGTGAAGAGAGCACAGGGCTGTCTGAGCCTTCTCCATCCTTCACCACTGGCCATGAGCTTCCCCAGAACTGCAGGCCCCTGATCCAGAAGCCCCTGCCCCACCTCCCTCTCTGGCATCTGGGTAAGAGGAGCCCATCCTCCTCTTTTACCTCCTCTTAAGTCCCCCAGCTAAGTAAAAGTCACTGTTCAAAAATGGAGCATTTCAACCAACAGAAAGAGTGCCAGGCTGCACATGGCTCCCTGCAGAAGTCACTAGTATCTTCCCAAGGAAATGGCCACGCCAAAATAAGCTCCATGGGAGGCGAGCAGACGCATAGTCTCTGTGGAAAGAAGGTGCCTTCAGTCGGAAGGTGGGAGCCATGTCTTTAAAAATCAAACATAGCCTCAGAAAAGAAACATTTAAAACAGTGAGAATTTTTCTAAATTAAAATAATTACATGTGTGCACCTACACACACACACGCGCATGCACGCACACACACACACACACACAGAGTCCTCTAAATCTGTGGGTTCTACATCAGTGGTTTCAAACAAGGAGGAATCAAAAATATGCAACAAAACAAAAATGCTGCATCAGTACTGAACACATATGGAATTCTTGTCATTTTTCCCTAAACAATACCTATTTACACAGCATTTACATCACACGAGGTCCCTAAGTAAGCTAAAGATGGGTTACAGTATACTGGAAGATGTACATGGGTTATATGCACATGGGTTGTATGCAACTTCACCACTTTCTGCAAGGTACTTGGGCATCTGCTTATTTGGGAATCTGCACAGGGTCCTGGACCACTGCCCAGGGATACTGAGGAACCAGGCAAATGCATACTTATCCATGGACTGATCAGAGCTGTCAGTTTGTCACATGACTTTGAAATGTAACAATGGGTCCTGAGGACAGAATGCTGGTCTGCATAGGCCCATGGCCCATGGAGCAAGCCATATGTGTAGAGCATCGTAGGGGAGGAGTGGTAGATGAAGAAAGGCCACGTTCCTCTACCTTATCTCTCCAATACGGCCAAGGAAATGCCACACCACATTCTTTATTAGCTCCAGGTGAGCGAGTCCACGTCCCCCAATGTGCTCATGCATTGTTTCTTTGTGTTCGTGTTTGTAGCAGTTAGTTGTCCACCTTCTTGCCTTGTCCCTGTGCCTTGTGCTTCTCTGCTTCTCCTGAATAGGTCCCTGAGGGTCTGTGTGCCAGCTCTCCTACGCTTACCAGCCCTATGGAGTATCCATCTCCCGTTAACTCACTGCACACCCCACCTCTCCACCGGCACAATGTCTTCAAGCGCCACAGCATGCGGGTAAGAAGGCTCTGCATGCTGGGTCCCAGCCTGGACTGAGGAGGCTGATGGAGGGAGGTGGCCTGGGACATGGGGTACCCCATGCCCTTAGCCTCAGTAGGTATCCTCCATGCTGCTATATGCCAGTCAGGCCGCTAGGGGGCTCTGTGACAGCATACATCTTTGCAAGCACATCAGAGGCTGGGCCAAGCTGGGCTCTGCTGCTGATGACACTAGCTGGACCTGACCTGCCCTTGCCCTTGCTGGTGTGGTGGAGAACCATGTGAAACTGTCTCTCTTTCTTGAGCCTCAGGGATAGGGTTGTCCACAGGCGGTGTGGAGGCTCCCAGGCAGAGCACAGCCAAGCCTGGAGGTGCTGGAGAATGAGATTGTGGAGCTCCAACCCCTCTCTGCCTTCCTGCCTGCCTGCTTTGGTTGCTAAATCTCTCCTCAGTCGGAGGAAAGCTTTCTGGTGGCTGCTTCTCCTGCTGCTTTTGTAAAAGGTGCTGCTGGATGGGAAGGAGCTTAGGGGTCAGTGTGGGCACAGCCCCCCGAACTGGCCAGAGAGGGGGCTAAGCCACCTCCCCGAGCCTCTTTGTCATCAGTGACTGGTGAGACCCTGAGTGCCACATGGACGGGCTGCTGATTGTCAGGTCGAATGTGAAAGAATCTCCCTTGATTATGAGCAAATGCCTACCTGCCGCTGGGCTGGCCGTCTCCTTCCATTCTAATGACCTCTTGTGGTCAGTTGCCATGAACGTTCCATATATTGTTTTGTAAATCAAGTGACAAAACAGACTGGAGCCCTCATTGTTTTAGCTTTAACTCTGTGTAAATGCATGGCATTTCATTAAAATAAGTGACTCAAAATTGTTTTGGGGAAAAAAATGCATGTTTATCATGACAGATTTAGAAAATGTAGACAAGTATGTTGATAGACTTCTGTGCTGTTATTCTTAATTTAGTAAAATTTCAAAATGAGCGTGAGAACTTAGAATTCCGAGCAGCAAGATCTGTTGTGAAATAAATTTTCCCCAGCCTACCTTATTTTTCTCTTGTACATTAATTTAACCAACTTCTATCTTTGCATATACTTAACAATACTAACACTGCAGATTGAAGCGTACTATAATTTAGGCAGTGTTCAGTTCCTCTATGTTCCTGCCTTCACTCTTTATTCATAATTAAGTCTTAGTGAGCCTTACTTTAAAATGTGCTCCTTCAAAGAGAAGCTGTTTTGCCTATTTGAAGGGCAGATTTGGCTTTGTCTAAGCCCTGCTTCATGGTGCAGACTTTTCTCTATTCCATAAAGACAGACTGTACAGTAGGAAGAAAGACCTTTTGTGTCAGAGGTTTAGTAGAAATAATTCTGCCCAAAAGAGCAAAATAAACAAAAAAGATCAAAAGTATAAACTCGATTTTATAATACAGATCAGAAACATTGAGAAAGTACCTTCCAGGTGGGAAACTGAAGAGGCATAATAGCCTCCCTGCAAAGCATTTGAAAGCATTTAACAAACATTCAGAGATGGAAAAAAAATTTTTTTCTCCTGCCTGGCTGTATGGGATGGCCCCTTTGGGAGTCTGTGGGACGCCAAAGAGTCATGGTGGTCACAATCTCTCTTTCAAAGAGCTCACAATTCAATAATAAAATGCAAAAAACAGCGCCCAGGCCTGCGGGCGCTGTCCTGGGTGCTGAAGGAGCGAGACCGTTTTGCCTTCCTGTAGCTCCATTCTGCTGGAAGGAACAGGCCATCCTACCCAGAATATCCGCCAGAAGGTTATGGGAGCCACTGAGTAGGGTTTCAGAGAGTAGAGTATCTCCTGCCAGCTGCTTTTTTTCCCCAGCTGGACCTTGAAGGATGGGGAAAGTTTAGACAGGATGAAGCTGGGATGCAGGGGTTGAAAGAGACAAGAGTCACATCGGTCTTGGGAGCCAAGGTTGTGTGATGAAAATGCAGAGGGCAAGAGGGGGATCTATTTGGCTAGAACAAGGAAGGGTTCACATGGGGTTGGAAATGTGGCTGGAAGCATGGGCTGTAGTCAGAGTAGGGAAGGTGTCACAGCACCTGAGTGAGATTTTAAAACCCAAGTACCTGATTCCTTCTAAGACGTGTAAGTGCCCAAGGCCCGAGTGCATTCAGCCAAACCAGCCTAGAGTGATTCACAGTTTAAAAAGTTCTCATTTTCTCTATTATTAATTTTACCATGAAATTGGAAGACAGTAGAATAAATCTTTCCAATATGTGTTTGTTAAAGTATTTGGCAAGATCAGGCCTTAGGCATAAAATGTGTGGAAGTGGTAGAAATCTCTGAGCACTTATAAAACTAAATAGTAACTCATCCTCCCTGTATTTGCTCTAATCTTCCTCAGTTTATGCATTTTTCTTACACCTGGAAATTCCTAACTCCATATGGTGAGCTCCAGACACTTAGGCCCTGTTTGTCACTATTTGTCAGCAGTCTGGGGCAGCCACACTGTTGTTTTCAGCCATTGACATGTAACCAGGAGGATTTTTATAGCCCTAACATTTCCTCATTTTGGAACAACGGTGTCTCAGTTGATTTTGTGTTGCTATAGCACGATACCTGAGGGCGGATTCTTCACACAGAAAAGGAGTTGACTTAGCCCACAGTTTTGGAGTTTGAAGAGCATGGCCCTGGCTTCTGCTCAGCTGTGGGGAGGACCACAGGGCAGTGGCTGGGTTTGTGGTGAGACCATGAAGGAGATCATCCAGCAAGACAGGAAGCAAGATTCCAGGGAGGGACCGGGCTCATCTTTTCTCTAGCAGCGCCCCTCAGGAATTAGTCCACTCCCACCAGACTTGGCCCATTGCCATGAGCGGCCTTCATCCACCCGTGAGGGTGGACCTGCTAGCACTTAGGTACCTTTCCCTAGGGTCCACTCCCTACAGCTTCCTCCACCTCAGCCCTGCCATGCTGGGGAACCCAGCTTCCTGCACAAACCATCTCCAAGCCTTGGCAGTCAGTCTCTGTGAAACAAATCTTACTTCTGTTCAATAATCCCATGATTAGAAACTACTTGTGCATTCCGAAATTTGCTTTATTCTTTTAAGGGTTTAGCTCAGTGGTTCTCAACGGAGATGATTTGGCTTCTGAGGGGACTTCTGGCAATGTTCAGAGGCATTTTAGTTACAACTGGGGAGATGCTATAGCCATGTGGTGGGTGGAAGTCACGATTACTCTTAAGTATCCTACAGTGTACAGGAAGTCTATCTGAAGGAAAAGAATATCTACTCCCAAACCCTGGTTGAACCCTTGTTTACTTAGTCCCAGGAATGTTGCATAGTTTACATTTTTCTCCTGGTCCTGGGGATGAAACCCAGGGCCTTATGCATGCAAGATGAGTGCTTGACCACTGAGCTACATCCCCGGCCCATTGTGGATTTTAAGCCCTATGCCTGCCACATAGCAGTTGCTTAACAAGTAGCTACTGAATAGATTAATGAACACAGAATATTTCAGCAAGAAACCTAACTTGCAGGGAAAAGTATTTTCACAAATTGAAGTTGGTAATTGAAGTTAAACGAGACCTGGGAAAAACATCCCAATGTAACTGTCTCTAATGTGTATTGTAATATTCAAATATGTTCTATATTCGGTGGGGAAACTGTTTTAAGAGGCTTGGCAGGGAGAAGCCTTTCAAACACATAGGAATTTTTAGCATTTCTTCAAGTGCCTTCTATGTAAACTGGCCACTTCAAAGGAAAGGAACTGCCCTAGCCTCCATTGTGTTGCTGTCACACCATACTGGAGGCTGGTTAATTTACAGTGTGCAGAACTATATTCAGTTGCAGAGGCTGGGAGGTCCAGGGTCCAGGGCCACGTCTGCTGAGGCCCTTCTTGCTGTGTCACAGCATGGCAGAGGGCATCGTTTGGGTGAGGGGAGGGGGCACAGTCATCCTTTAGTCAGGAGCCCCTCTCATTCATGCAGGAAGCAAGGGCCCTCCTGGCCCAGCTGCCCTCAAAGGTCCACCTCGCCATGCTGTCACATAGGGGGTTAAATTTCCAACATATGAGCTTTGAAGGCCATGTTTCAGCCATAGCGGCAACTCTAGGACCTGCTGGCTTTCATGTCAGAGCAGGATGCTGTCTCTGGCAAAGGCCATCCTTGGCTTTACTGAATCAGGAGGATGCAGGTAACATTCTTTCTCCATCAGTCCTAGAGGTCTAGGTGGCCCAGTGCAGCAGGGGGGAAAGACAAAATAGTTTGGAGGGACTGAGCAGGTGATTAAGCAAAAAGCCCTGGGAAGACTGAGGGAAAGTAGGCCAACATTCCCATCTTCAGGATAGCAGCCGAAACAATGAATGAGCCCAGCGCCTCACAGGTGAGTTAAAACAAGGGTTGGACTTAGAAAACTCAGGGAGAGGAAGCCGTTATCTTCTATCCATAGAGCTCTCCTTATTTACATTTCATTCTTCGTCCTATCTCAGCACATGTATTTCTTCTAAGCACTGGTGAAAATAACCCAAGCTGTTATTTTAACGAGTGCATTTTAATGAAAACGCGCGACTAGTAGGTGCCGCTGTTGCTCCTCCCCCCGGGGCTGTGCCTCGGGGCTGGGGGAGCCGCAGGGCTGCCCTCAAAGCTTCCAGAGCTGCCTGGTGGTGCTTTGGTGGACTCAAGCTCCCAGAGGCGGGCTTTGCGTTTCTCAGCCTATTGGATGACAGCCACCATCACAGAAGCCAATGAGAAAATAACAGTAGGGCAGTCAGGGGAAAATAAAATGTCACCAAGGGGTCAGGTGGTCCTCTGGATGCAGTGCACGTTAAGCGGTGTGATCCCAGTTTTGACAGCCTGTAGCAATCTAGGCCTGTCTGTGAGGCTGACAGTGGTGACAGCCGCCTCCATACAGTACCTGTGTGTGACTGTGGGTCTAAGAGCAAACCAGCAGGCCCAAGGCTTTGGTGCCTCCCCGTCATCCCTCCTCTGAGTCTGAGGATGTGGCTCATGGTGCTTCTCATCTCCCCATGTCCTCAGGAGGAGGACTTCATCCGACCCAGCAGCCGAGAAGAGGCCCAGCAGCTGTGGGAGGCCGAGAAGGTCAAGATGCGGCAGCTGCTGGACAAGCAGCAGAAGCAGATGGCGGAGGACTACCAGTGGCTGCGGCAGGAGGAGAAGTCCCTGGTGAGCGGGTGCTCCTGGGGGCGATGCTGTCATGGTCCCTGGGCATCTTCCAAGCTGATTCAGGCCATTCTGGGCCATGTGTTCTCGGGACATCAGCTCCAAACCCTAAGCCCTTTCTTTGGCCTCCTCCACAGGACCCCATGGTGTACGTGAACGATAAGTCCCCTTTGGTAAGTCACTGGGAGAGGCCCAGGGAATTCACTCTGGGCCCCGGGCCTGCCCGTCTCCTTCACTGCTGCCCTCATCGGGAGCGCATCCTGGCCCTTTGTGCTGAGGCCACGTGGCTCTACGCCTTGGCACAGCCTTGACCCCTAGAAAGGTGGACCTCCATCTCCGGGGCTGTAGTCTCTACGCACACGGGGTGGTGGGCTTGGAAGTAGGAGGGGGTGGTCCCCAGGGCCACAGAAGTGACCTTCTCTCCCCTACTTCCTTGCAGACCCCAGAGAAGGAGGCCGGCTACAGTGAGTGTTTCTGCCCTTCCTTGGGGTTCTGCTGCAGTTTCAGGAGCGACCTGACCCATCTTGTTTTCATTTTGAGCAAACAGAGTGGGCTGGCTTCAAAGTGGAGAGCTCTCTGCTCCCTCCCTGTCTGGAGTCCCTCTTCATCCCTCTGTCGCTCACATCCTCAAGCTTCTACCCCATCCCTCTCCCGCCCGATTTATGTGGAGGAGTCAGTGAGGCTCTCCCCCTTCCTGTCTCCCACTCTCCCTGTCTGTCAGAGGCGCCTGGTGGAAGGTTAAGTAGCTCCATCTGCTTCTCCCAGTTTGCACTCATCCTCCAAGACAAAGCCACATGGTGGCCCCAGAAGCCTGAGCTGAAGCAGGGAGGAAAGAGGGCTGAGGCTAGCAGTGACCACAGCCACAGACAACCCGGGTCATGCCCAAATGGTCACTCATTTCATATCATGGCAACTCTATGGGACAGGTACAGTTCATCTCCGTTTTATAAAGGATAGAATTGGGCACAGTTCGGCTATGTAACTTGTCCAGCGCCACAGGCACTAATTAGCAGAGTCCGGATTTGAGTCCAGGTGGTCTGGCTCTTAGGTCCCTTCTTGTTGAGACCCAGGAAGTCTAAGCAAGCTGCCCTGGGTGGCTGAGCTCTTTGGTGGCAGAGGACAGAGCAAGCCAGGTGCTCCGCCTCCCACCACTTGCCCACTCCCCCAGCTGCTCCACAGGCTCGTGTGTGTCTTCGCTCGCTTCTGCTGTGATTTTGGAACCATTAGCAAATCCTCATCCATCCTTCCAGGGGCCGTGGAAGCGCTGGGCAGGGACTCCGAGACCCCTGCTGCCCACAGAGTGGGAGGGCTCTTTCTCATGGATGGTAGAGGCCACAGTGTGGCTGTTCCCCAGGCCTGTGTCCCTCAGGAAGGAAGCATAGCAGGTCTGGGACACCCCGCCATCGTCCACCTCTGCTGTCCCTGCGGTTTCTTTCTGTCCAGTGGGCAGCAGCGCTCGTGACCCTGAGGATGACCATGGAAACTGGGGTGTTCGTTTCCTTGCCACCTTCCTGGGATTCGGGTCTAATGTGGCCAGGGTCTGCTGGTGGTAGAGGAGGGGAGTCGCTTGTTTATCGGTAGGAATGAGGGAAGGGCCGGGGTGCTGAGACCCCCGCTCACTCCCTGTGCCCCCCACCCTGTTGCAGCGGAGTTCACCGGACCCCCGCACAAGCCCCCGCGGCTGTGCACACAGGTAAGTGTTGGGTTCGCCAGAGATGATGATGAATTGGGTTTGGGGTTGGGGTTCCAAAAGATGCACGTTGAAAACTTCGAAGGCCCTGAGCGATAATTCAGTTCAATGTCCTCATTGTACACAGTGTAATGAGAATATACTGTGAGTGTTTAAATTTAAATGTATCACAGTAAAAGCCACGTTGCCATGAGTCCCCCTCAGACTACTCCCCATCACTTCCAACACACCTATCCCATCATTCTTGCCACTTTCTGAAGCCATTCTGGACGTCCTCTTCCATGAGTGTCTTTAGTTGTGCTGCCGTGGCTGCCTCCATGTCCTAAATCGATTCAAAACACTGACTTTTGGTGGTCATTTTGGGAAGAGCCAGAAGTCACATGGTGCCAGATCCGGTGAATAAGGTGGATGAGGGCCCACCATGATGTTTTTATTTGACAGAAATTGCCATAAACATTTGGTCCGCAGAGGGTGCCAACAACCATGGTGAATCCTGAAATTAAAAAGAAATTATTACAGTAAAAAAACACACTACCATGAATTCTCCCTGAAAATACTCAAACTACCCACCTGGCTTTGAACACAATTATCCCATCGTTACTGGCAGTTTGTCTCTTACTGAAATAAGTTTTTAAAAAGTTTTATTAGTGGATATTTGCAGTGCATCATGATTACATTCATTGTGGAGAGTTCATGCATGTCCATTACACAACTTATTTCTTTTAATAAGTTTTTAACATTTAAACATTCACTGTACTCTTTGACCATCCCACATACAAATGAGGCCCAGAGAAGGGACGCGCCTTGCTGCAGGCCTCAGAGCTAGGTGAAAAAGCGGTGAAGAGCCAGTTTCCCGCTCCGCACTGCTGCAGCCCTGGGGCAGGAGCTGGGGTCCCCTTCCCCGCACCCCGACCCAGCATTGCCTTCTGTCTCGCAGTCCATCCAGCCCACAGCCAACCTGGACAGGACCGACGACCAGGTGTACTCAAACGTCATGGAGCTGGTGCGGGCTGTGCTGGACCTCAAGAACAGGCTGGGCCAGCTGCCCCCCGAGGACTATGTGGTGGTGGTGAAGGTGGGACCCTGAGCAGGGGCACCTCGGGGAGACTGCTGTGAACCCCAGCTCTGGGCGGAGGGGCTGTGCCTCCCCATTGGCCGGCCTGGAAGGCCCCAGTAGTACAGGGTGATTAAAGGGAAGTTAGGCCGGAGCAGCCCCAGAGGGGACCTACATCCCAGCAGCAGGAGGCTTTCTCAAAAAGCAAGACATAGGCTGGGCGTGGTGATGCATGCCTTGATTCCCAGCACTCTGGGAGGCTGAGGCAGGAGGATCACAAATTCCAGCCCAGCCTGAAGAATTTAGTGACTTCACAAGATCCTGTCTCAAAAAAATATTTTTAAAGGGCCGGGGATGTAGCTCCGTGTGAATCCAGGGTTAGTCCAGGGTTAATGCAAGAGGTAAATGCTTCCCTGTCTCTTCCTCTATCCAGAATGTGGGGCTGACCCTTCGGAAGCTCATCGGGAGTGTGGACGACCTCTTGCCCTCCCTGCCATCCTCTTCGAGGACAGAGGTGAGTGTCACAGTGCACACCTGTCACTTCCGCCCTGCACCCTCAGATGCCTCTCCCACGGGCAATTCCAGGGCCCCCTGGGCAGTGTCTTTCTGCCTGCTGAGTCCCCAGCAGGCGGCTGTGGGCCCCACCAAGCACCCAGGGCAAACTTCCTATTCAGGTCTCAGGTAACCACAGTGAGTGCTTATTAATGAAGACATGCAGGGTGCACGACACCTTGCCCTTCCCTCCTATTGGCCTTTATCTCACACATCTGTGCTAATGAGGCGATGTCATTGTCACAAGTCCCCATGAGATTCTCGGTGCTCTGTGAGCTGGACCGCGGTGACATCAGAGTAGTGGTCTCTGAAGATGTCCACATCCTGGGCTCCAGGGCCTGTGCTCTTGTTACCTTGCACAGCAGTAGGGACTTCGTAGTGCGATCAAGTTAAGGCTCTCCAGATGAGATTATGCTGGAGCAGGTGAGAGGGGGCAGGAGGTCAGAGTCAGAGGGACCTGAGGACAGAAGCAGGGGCCAGAGCCGTGCTGCTGCTGGGAGGGGCCATGGGCCCAGGAAGGCCACGGCCCTGCCGACGCCTTGGCTTAGTGAGTCTCTTATCGCAGCCGTAGGGGACGGACCCAGTGCTGCTGTACCCTTGAAGCTGTCCGTCTCAAAGTCAGTTGCCAACCTCCCCCACAGGGCCCTTCGATCCACCGCCTTCCAGCGTCAGCCACATGGCACATCCAGTCACTGTCCCCACTGACTATGGCTGCTCTGGGCAGGACTGGGCAGGTGTGTCTGGGACACTCCCAGGCCTCCCTCTGGTGGCAGCAACAACCCATAGAGGGCTCAGCTGGGCAGGTACCACCCTCTCAGGGGACTGAGATGCCCCTGGGACCTGGCCAGCTTCCAGGGTGAATTTCCTGGTTCAGATCTGATGGGAAAGCTCTGCGCCCTCCGGATGGCTATTCATTCACTCACTCACTCACTCATTCATTCACTCACTCACTCATTCATTTACTCACTCTCACTCATTCATTCACTCGTTCATTTCCTTTGACAAATAGTCTTGCACTTCATGTGCTCAGGGTGTGCTGTACACTGGGGATGTGCTGGTGAAAGAAATGTCACCTCTGATCTCTTGGTTTGAGAGTAGACAGCTAACACGCAGGGCAGCACACTTGGCCGCTGCCCCACTCATCTCTAGAACATCAGCTGATGTCAGGACGTCGCCGTGAAGGGCGGCCTTCTGTCAGGCTGGGTCAAGGGCTTGGCTGGGCTCTGGGACGCCTGCTGTGTCCATTGGACCCTGAGTGGGGGTTGGATTCAGCCCAGGCCTGGGCCCGATTCCTCCCTGGGGAACTTGACTGCCTCAGTCAACACCCTTCCTTGGCCTCTGCGGGCTCTGTATCTGCAGATTGAGGGGACCCAGAAACTGCTCAACAAAGACCTGGCAGAGCTCATCAACAAGATGCGGCTGGCGCAGCAGAACGCAGTGACCTCCCTGAGCGAGGAGTGCAAGCGGCAGATGCTCACGGCCTCCCACACCCTGGCCGTGGACGCCAAGAACCTGCTGGACGCCGTGGACCAGGCCAAGGTTCTGGCCAATCTAGCCCACCCGCCAGCTGAGTGACGGAACATGGGGCTACCCGCCTGCATCTCCACCCCGACCCGTCCTGCACCTTCCCGCCTTGCCTTTGGTCATGTGGTCTTCTTGGGGAGGACGGGGGGAGTCCTTCCCCTTGCTCTGCACGACCCCTCCCCACCTCACCCCAACTGTGCTGCTCAGCCTGCAGCTGGACGGAGGGACTCTGGGTATGGACGTGGGACGCATCTGATGCATCTGGTTCAGAGGGGGCGCTGGTGCTGGCCACTCCCTCCCACCCCAGCTGGGCGCTGGGTGCTGGCGCACCTCACTGGGGTCACAGCGATGCCCCTAGCCACTGAGATGGCTTCATGCATGGACAGGTGGGCCCATTTGGGAGCCAAACTATCCCTTCTCCTTCCTCTTCAGCCCTCGAGGGTCCCTGGATGTACAGATTGGCCAGGGAGGGGCTTTGTGTGGGGGGCAGGAGGCTAGTGAATGAGGAATGGTCCTGGCTTTCTTGTACAGTGTATATTGGAATTTATTTAATGTGAGTTGGGTCTGGACTGACAACTGGGGGGGTGGGGAGTGAGGTGCAGTCCAGGAACAAGCTAACTAGGGAACGGGGCAGAGATGCAGCTTTTTATCAAAGCAGCCATCGGGGAAGAAGCAGAGAGACAGCGGCCAAAACAGGACTCGGGACCACACTCTGCTTTCTTCTGCCCTCGTTTCTCTTTCTCCCTTGGCTGTTCCCTCGCCCCCTCCCCTTCTTACTCCTGTGCTCTCTCCTTTCCTCACCTGCTCCGTTCCTTTCTCAAGTGTTTGTGTAGAACATTCTTTTACCTTCTTTCTATCTGACTTGTGGTTGAATTAAAATTGTACCATTTGCTTTGTGGTTTGTTTGTGTGGTTTGTTGGATCTGCTGGCCTTGAACTGTAGTCCTGGAAGAAATCGATGGTGTTCATCTTGGGTGCAGATCAAGACCATTGACTGGGCCTTGGCCAGGAAGCTGTGCGGCAACACATGGTGGGGGTCACGTGCACTCCAGCCCTTTGCCCCATATGGGCAGCAGGGTCACCTGAGCCAACAGGGGTGGCTTTTCAGGATGGATGCAGGGCAGTCTCCTCCGCGTGACATTCCTCTCCAGGCTCTGGAGGGCCCTGGGTGATGCTGATGACATTGAAGTGTAGCCGGTAAGGAGGGGTGGCACCTTTGACTGACCAGCAGACTCGGCTTTATTGAATACTTTTACTCACATGCAAGGTGGGCAGGAAACAGGAAGAACATGGCAAGCATCGCTGGACCAGATCACACCTGGAGGGCTGGACCACACAGAGAGACAGCAGGGACAGGGCCTGCATTCACAGGAGTGAGGAGGCATCCAGGCCAGAAAGGCAGAGAGAACTGAGGAGGGGCCTAGCCAGGGTCTCGGGTAGACAGTTTTCCCTGGGCCTGCCAGGGACAGGCACGTGGGGGTTCAGGAGGGGATCCCCAGATTGCACGGAAGTGGAAAGCTCCCCCGCTCCGCTTCCTGCCTGGGGTCTCATACTGTCTGGAGAACCCACTGCCCACCTCTGTTAGCAGCTGAGGTTGGGGCTCCCAACCCCCCTCGCCAGCACCCCAGAATGTGGAACATTCTCTGCCATGGCACAGGAGCGAGACGTACAGACTGCAGGCCCGTGGGACCCAGGAAGGTGGGCTGGGAGGGAACCTTCTGAGGCCTCAGCCTGCTGCCCCACTTCTCAGACCACACACGCGTCCAGAGGCTGACCCCACAATCTGGCGCTGTGCTAGGTGCTGGAGGAGTTTAGGCTGAGAGCTTGAAGTAAAGCAGATCATCAGGGACCAGGCTCTGAGGAAGGACGGAGAGGCTGCCCAACAAATGGGGAGGATGCTTTGTTTTTTGTGGTACTGGGGATTGAGCCCAGGGAAAACTGACTACATACCCACTCTTTAAATTGTATTTAGTTTGGGACATGCTGTTGCTAAATTGCCCGGGCTGGGCTGGAACTTTTGATCCTGCTGCTTCAGCCTCCCAGAGCGCTGGGATTACAGGTGTGCACCACCACGCGCCCCTCAAGCTGCGAGGGTGAGTTGGGCTGAGAACGACTCGGGGTGGGCGGTGGGCGGCCTTTCCATTTGTCCACAGCATGGTGCAGTGCAAGGGCGCCCGTCAGGCAGTGGCTCAGCTCAGCCAGCTGGGGCCACTTTGCAGCAAGAAAGGGGCAGACAGATGATAATGCAGAGGGGAACAGGGCTCAGAGGCCTTCAGGCGGGGGCAGGGCCCGCTACCTGCAGGCGGCCACCTCCCCCTCCCTTCCTCCCCAACATGCTGGACTCCTTTCTGCACCCCAGGCCTCCTCCTCTTCCCCCTCTGTCCTCCCGGGGCTGCGCTGTCTCGTGGTCCTAGTGCCACCCTCCACCTCCCTGCGTGACTGTCACTTAGGGTCCACATTGCTCCTCCAGGAGCATCTTTTTCTCCCTCATGTTGTCACCACAGCATCCCGGGGTGCTACAGAGCAAACACCTTCACCTTTTCCAGCTCCACAGCCTCCGAAGCAGGGCTCTGCAACCAGCAGGACGCAGCACAGGGCACAGGGATGTCAGGAACTGTGCTGGGAAGCTGTGACCTCTAGGGATGCCAAAGAGCAAATTGAGGGACAGCCTCAGGCAGATGGCCTTGACCCCAAAGGGTACCCTGGGGGCAGCCGCAGTCAGAGGTGGCAGGAGATGGTTGGCAGGTGCACCTCAGCGCCAACATGAGGGACGTGAAGTCAGATCATCCCCGGTAGGAATGGAGGAAGAAAGAGCCCGACGGTTCCCAGGAAGCAAACAATGATGAACAGCCAGAGGAATATCCTGTCGATGACCATGGCCACGTACTTCCAGTCTTCCTTCACCTGCAGGCACAAAGGGGCTCCCGGTGACAGAGGCCCAGGGAAGGGGGAGCATCAGTCCCCATCAAGAAGACCACAGGGGTGGCAGCAATGGACACAGAGACCTGGGCAGCCAAGGTCAGCCCATGTACAGAGGAGGGGGCAGGGCTAGCTCAGGCTCTCCAACCCTCCCGAGGATCGGTCCTATCCTATCCCACCCTCCACAGGGCCCAGAGCTATGTGTACTGTCAGGTTCTGGGTAAAGGAAGCTATAGACACACAAGGACATCCTAGTGCCACCTAGGGGCATGGACTCTGGGAACAGCGATTTCCAAGCCGCACTCCCGCAGTTGAGGTGCTGCAGGCTTCGCTGCCCATGCTACCTTCCACAGCCACCTGCAGGAGGTGCGGAGGAGGAGGCAGGTGCAGTCGCTGTGACCCAAGGCGAGCCAGGGACTGGGCAGGGGGCTTTGTGGAGCTTGTGCTCACAGGCAGCGCCGGGTGTCTGGATGCCTGGCTGCTCACAAATGAAAGATTCATGTTCTTATCTACTGCACGAGGCCACTCATCAACTACCTGCAGCCCTCCCTCCTCCCACCAGTTGCTAAGATGAACTCTGGTCCTGAACACTGGGTACACTCGGCAGGGGCGGGGCGGGGAGACCACCCTCACACAGCCAGGAGTCTGCAGGGTGTGCAGCGAAATAGTGAAGTTCACAAAATTCCCAGTCCCTGACAGGGAGCCGGGCGACCCTCCAGCTCGAAGGAGGAAGGCAAGGGTGCCCCGCTGACACACTTGGTCCCTCTGGGTCTGTCCTGGCACCTCCCCAGCCCGCCCCACAGCAGGCAGCGTGAGAAAAGGCTGTTCTGGCTCACCGCCTCGTTAGCCGGGGGTAGGGGATGTTCTTTTGTGTGCACACGCAGAGTACCAAGGACCTTCGGACTCAGCTACATCCTTGGCCCTCTTAATTTTGATCCAGGGTCCTGCTAAGTTCCTCACATGGAAACTGAACTTGCAGTCCCCTGCCTCAGCCACCTAGAGTGCTGGGATCACAGGCTTGAGCGGGAGGGGGCATTCTTGATCTCATGCTATTCTGCCACCTTCGAACAAGTGTCCCAAGAGCTGCCAGCTAGATGTTCCCTCTCACGACTGGCTCCAGACTCCAGAGGACCAGTCCTCGAGGGACGGAACTGGGTTGCCCCAGACTAACGCCCTGAGAAAAGATGTCCCCTCCTAAGCCTGCAGAGCCGCCCGGGAAGGGGCCCTCGCCCAGCCCACACAAACCGAGGAGTCTGCATCCTCCGCCCGCAGGTGCTCAGCAATGTAGTGCACGCCTTCCAGGGCCTTCTGCATGTGAAGGGACAGTGAGGCCTCCGCCTTGGGCCCCCAGGCCCCTGGGTGCGGGCGGCTGCGGCCATAGAAGGCACCTGCGGAGGGCGCTGTGCGGCCTGCACACACCCATCCCTCCTCCTCCTCCTGCTCCTCCTCCTGCTCCTCCTCTCGCTCCTGGGCATCCACGTCCATCTCCAGCCAGTGATAAGAGGGGCTGAGCTTCGGCCCCGGGGGCTCGGGGAGCCCCGAGGGTGGCCCGAGGGGCCGATTCATGAGCAGCCACCGGGGCACGCAGCCCAGCAGGACCAGGCGCACCCAGCGGGCCATGGTGTGGGTGCGCGTCGAGCGGTGGTGCACGTTGAGCACGAAGACCGTGATGACGATGGACAGGGTGACGAAGATCATGGTGAAGAGCAGGTACTCGCCGATGAGCGGGATGACCAGCGAGGTGGACGGGATGATCTCGGTGATGAGCAGCAGGAAGACGGTGAGCGACAGCAGCACTGAGATGCACAGCGTGATCTTCTCGCCGCAGTCGGAGGGCAGGTAGAAGACCAGCACGGTGAGGCAGGAGATGAGCAGGCAGGGGATGATGAGGTTGATGGTGTAGAAGAGCGGCAGGCGCCGGATGACGAAGGCGTAGGTGACGTCGGGGTAGATCTCGGCGCAGCAGTCGTACTTCTTGCTGTTGTAGGTGCCCGTGGCCGCCACGATGGCCCACTCGCCGCTCTCCCAGTAACCCTTCAGGTCCACCGTCTGCTCCATCTGCTCCAGGTCGATCTTGGCCTTGTCGTAAGTCCAGGAGCCGAACTTCATCTTGCAGTTCTGCTGGTCGAAGGGGAAGAAGGTGACGTCGATGCTGCAGGAGCTCTTGTAGATGGCCGGGGGCACCCAGTGCACGTCGCCCGTGGAGAAGAGGCGGGCCTTGGTCATGTGGGTCACTGCGAACTCCCCGTCTGCACTGGGGAGAGGAGACAGCTGGGGTCCCCTGCAGGCTGCCAGGCCAGAGAGCCAGAGAGGGCAGCCCCCAAACACAGCCAAGCGAGCCTCCCACACAAGGCTGCGACTCTCCCAGCAGACAGACATACCCCAGTGTCTTTTCACATGTCATTGTTTTCATTGCAAAGGTAGGAAGTTTGAAGAATAGTGGGATGCACACAGAATTTTTCAAATAACCACTATTAACATGTCATGGTTTGTGTATCATACGTAGGTGGCATGATTGAAAAATAAGGCGGATTTAAATTTAAAAATTATCACAGTAAAGGACATACTGCCACTAATTCCCCTCAAAATACTGTCCTTTACTTCAAACCCACTTACCTTGTTATTCTTGCCACTTTCTGAAGCAGTTCGGGAAGAGCTATTTCGTGAGTGTCTTTAGTTGCAGTGTCACGCTGCCTCGATGTCCTGAGTTGATTCAAAATATTTATCTTTCATGGTCATTTTGACTTTGGGGAAGAGCCAGAGTTGGCATATTCAGTGGATAAAATGGATGAGGACATCCTGGAATGTTTTTATGAGCCTGCCTCTCATTCACTGCACATTTTTTTTTTCCTGGGGATTGAACTGCAGACCTTGTGCTTGCAAGGCAAGTGGCAGAACCAGTGAGCTAAATCCCCGGCCCAATTCACTGCACTTTTGACCACACCTCTGAAGACATTCAGAAAGAGGACTTCCAGGACTGCTTCAGAAAGTGACTAGAACAATGGAATGAGTGTGTTTGAAGTGAAAGAGAATATTTTGAGGGATATTCATGCCAATGTGTCTTTTACTGAATTAACTTTTTAAGAAAGTTTTAAACATCCACTGTATATTTTTTTGTTTGTTTTGTTCCTTTGGTACCAGGGATCGAACTTGGGACCTTGTGGTTTCGAGGCAGGCAGCAGAAACACTGAGCTAAATCCCCAGCCCTCATCCACTGTATATTTTGATCACACTTCATGTTTGACTGTCATGTAGATCATTTTCATAACAGTTTTACATATTTGAGATCATGAGCTATTTGTAGTTTCGTTGCCTGTTTTTATTCATTTTATATTTTGCAGTGATTATTAGGAATCAGAATACACAGGAATAGAGAGAGTTTTTTCTCCTTCAGTAGTTTCAGGGTAGAGATACAGCAAGCTGAAGATGGGAGTTTTGAAAAAGCTTAAATTGAGTTTAAATTGACATCAGTCAAAAGTTTAAATTGAGCCAGGCATGATGGTGCATATCTCTAATCCCAGCTTTCTGGGAGGCTGAGGCAGGAGGATCACAGGTACAAGCCCAGCCAGGAAAACTTAGGGGCTTTGGGAGACTCTGTCTCAAAATAAAAAGGAGCTAGGGATGTCGCTCACTTTGAAGGCCCTGGATTCAATCCCTGGTACCCTAGAAGGCATTTTGGTCATTTCACGTAATCACCACTAGATGGCAAGAGGCCCTCATTTTGGAGAAGAAATAACTTCATTGACTTGGAGCTAGCTGCTGGAGGGGACGCTAGATGTCTGTGAGAGTTTGGACTGGATTTCTGTCCTAGTCTTCAGAAGACTTTCTTGTGATAATTCAGTAACACTGGCCAGAGTCTTACTGGCCAGCCTAAAACTCTGAGTCAGATCAATGCCAGGACTGCTGCTGACCTCTGCCAGAGGCGCAGGATCTTGGGCACCAGCTCCTGAGCACAGCATGGCGGTGGGGACCCCACCTTCTGTCTTCTGGAGCCTCTGATTGCTACAATCAGGCTGGTCCTTCCTGTCCTGCCTATGAGGCAGCTATGAATGACGACGGAACACAGATCACAACAAGTGAGTTCATTCCCTTTAAAGGCACTGCCCTGGGATGCCACTGACACTTTCCAACAGTGCCATCCTTCACAACACCAGCCACAGGCATCTGTACAGAGCAGGCACTGTGTTTCTCAAAGGAATACTTAGAACCGGCCAGTCTGTCCCGTGAGCAGTGCCAGAGACCGATACACAGTAGCTGTTCAATAAACATTGTGGGGGTACAGGAGTGAAAGAGCAAAGTGAATGAAATTAAAGGAATAAGCTAAGTAGGTCAAAGGGATGCAGGGACCCCTCTCCCAATCCCCTGCCTCAGGTCCCCTAGGACTCCCGCAGCTTCCTACTTGTTGTAGAGGACAATGTCAGGGATCCAGATCATCTCCGAAGGGACCCGGAGGGAGGTGACATTGCTGAAATCGGCCGGGTTCCAGCGCAGCTTGTAGTCGTTCCACTCCTGTGGGGCCAGGGGCTCTCATCACCGCACTGCCAGGGCAGGGGCCAGGGCCCCCACAGGGCAGAGGGCTGCGGTGCCTGGACAGGGCTCCGAGTGGGTGTCCAGCGTCGGTGTCTGCTACCCTGCTAACTCCCCGGTGAGGCCGGACTTTAGTAGCCCGCACCCTGGCTCCCTGGTCCTCAGCTCCCCGGTGGGCACTTCCTGCATCTGCAGTGAAGTCAGTCGTTTCCAGGGCATCACATTTTACAGTGATTTCTGCGGCCTGCATCTGGGAAGAGCCTCCCAGGAAAGCTGGGCAGGGACTGGTGAGCAGGCACAAGTGTTTCCCGTTTCACAGATGAGGGCACGGAGGAGCAGAGGCCCACAGATGAGACAGGGCGCTCACCTGTGGCCTCCAGACTGCTCCAGAGGCGTCCCCTCGGGGGCCCTGCAGGGAGGGGTGCTCTGGGCTCCACCCCCACTTCCACCACACGGGTCCGAGCAAGTCTGTCCTCCTCCCCACAAGTTGGGTTCTTATCCTCTCCCCAGTCCATCTGTCAGCTTTTCAGGTTGAACCCCTGTTTCCGGGCCCGTGCGAGTAGATTGTACCATCCCCATTTTACAGGGGAGGAAAGCAAGGCTCTCAGAAGCTATGCAGCTAACCCAGCATCAGGAGCTGTCAGAGCTGGCCCTGGACGGCCTGGCTCCCCTTGCAGTGCCCTTTCCTTGCCATCCCATCCCGACCCAAGTGACCAGGCCAAGGGGACAATGGGGGCACCCTAGGCTCCAGGCCTGCTCCCCCAACATTGCACGGCTGCAAAGCTTTCCAAGCCCCCAGCTGGCACATCTGAAAGGGGAGCTCGGGGTGAACGGTGTCAGAGGCTTCTGCGAGCCTCCTAGCTTGATTCAGATCCAAGTCCCTGGCACACAGCCGAGCACCACGCAGGGCTGGTGAGGCGGGCAGACGAACAGGACAACATTCCGGTTCCCCAGCTTTCTGTGTAGTCACCTCTGCCACAGGGGGGCCCGGGTGCCAATGGGCAGGAGGAGGGGCTGTGGGCAGGGCCAACCTGTTCCTCACCTTCTCCCACCACCTTGGTCCCCTGGGAGTGGACGGACAGAGCCAGGGGTAGGGAAGGCTCTAGCAAAGGGCTGTTCCTGAGCTGTCCTAGGCCCGGCACATCAAAGAGGGTCACACATTCTTTGGCTTCTCCTCCACTAAGATGCAGGACCTATACCCCTCCCCTCGATCCAGCTGAATCCTGTGGATCAATGGAATACAGCAGGAACAGTGCTAGGCCAGGGTCCAGGCACGAGACTAGCAGCTTCTGCTTCCTGCCTCTTGGACCATCACTCTGGGAGCACAGAGGCACCAGATGAGAATCCACTTCCCCTGGCAGAAAGACCCCAGAGAATGGGCCTGAGAGTGCCTGACAGGGAGGAGCCTAGCCTGAGCCAGCCTTCCATAATCTTCTAGAGCCTTCTGTACTCTCCCTATACACACCCCTGTGAAGGGGTGTACACATGAGGGAAGCCGCCTTAGACTCTCCAGAACAGACTCGGCCACCAGCCAGATGCCAAGTACCCTCGCTGTGATCAAAGGAAGCAGAGGAAGCCATCCGAACTCCTGGTCATAAAGCCCTGCAGCATGGTAAGCTGGTCACGCTCTAAGCCACTAAACTTTGGGGCCTCTGTGAGGCAGCACAGACCCAAGCCTCCGCTCGCTCAGGGTTCTGTCTCTCAGTAGAGCACATCGGGGACCCCTCTTTTCACCCCAGCTGCACTGTGCCTTTCACCCTCCTTAGCTGTCAGATGGGCAGAATGAACCCTCTCCTGGGGCGTTGGTGACGGGGCCGTGAGCTCAGGACTCCCTAAGCGGCCACTGTTCGAGAACTGCAAATTCTGCATCCGGCTTCTCCTTGGCCCCTGGTTGACAGAGGGTCCCTCAGGGGCTGTGGTCAGTGGATGCCTGTCCCCTCCTTCGGAGTAGCCCTCACCTGCTTTAGCCAGACGTTGGTGGTCATCATCTGGTTCTTCTCATCCTGCCAGCAGCAGAGAGAGAGGAAGAGCAGTCAGAGAGCCCAACCAACCCAGAAGACAGAGGCCACCAGGGAGGGCCACCTCTTCCGACAGGGCCACCTGCTCTCAGGCCACCAGCGTCCTGGGAGGCCAGGGGAGGCGAGGGAGCGCAGGAGAGGACTGAGGGGCCCCTCGTGACTGAGGTGGGCTGGGAGGACCCTGGGAAGGGGCCAGATGGGCCGGCGGGCTGCAGGGGCCACAGCATGGGAGGACAGGCGCACCACGTCGATGAGCTGGGCGATGGACAGCCCGAAGCGCACGATCACCACGTCCGAGGTGTTGGGCACCGGCCGCGCCCAGCGGTTGTAGCCCCCAAAGAGGTGTTTGAAGAGGCGATCCTCAGCCTGGGTGTGCGGGCCTCGCTGCGCCAGCGCTGAGGGGTGAGGAGAGAAGAGGAGAGAGGCTGGGGAAGCGGGTGTGTGGCTTCCTGGTCACCTCCCCTCAGGACAAAGCCTCCCAAGTCACTGAGCCTCTGTTTGCTCATCTGACAAATGGGGATGAGCCCAGCCCGAGGCGCATCCCTCGGGGATGTCTATCAGGTGGCTGCCATCAGCACTCACTGAATGTCAGCGCCTCTGTGAGACTGGACAGGAAGCAGGGACCGACCTGCAGCAGGGGCGGGGGAGGCTCGGACTTAGAGATGCGATTCAGTCTGGAGCGCGGGAGCCCAGCAGATACAGGGACCCGACCCGGGGGAGGCGCCTGGTCCTCCCGAGTGAGCCCCAAGAAGGAGGCCTCACCCGCCGCGGTGAGCAGGGCCGGCAGGGGGCGCTCCCGTCTGCGTAGGAGGTGAAGCGCCAGAGCCAGCCAGGGAGCCCTCTGGCACTTAGCCCATGGACTCAAGTTTCTCTCCCCCACTCCCCGCCCAAGCACTTGCCCCTTCCTGTCAGCTAGGCAGCCAGTGCATTTGCGTGCCAGAGAGTTTGTTACTGGGTTCGGCACCCAGCATGGCCACTCCAGGGCTCTGCTGCCTGAGCAGGTGGGGAACTCCAGCTCCAGAATCCAGATAGCAGCAGGCCATCTGGGACAGCGGGCATCGCAGTGACAACAGTGGCCATGTGGGTGTCCCGAGCGCCCCCAGAGCCCAGGTGCTAGTCAGCTGTCCTCGGTCCCCAGAATAGCCCTGGGAGGCCCGCAGAACTATTCGTGCTTTGCAGATGAAGAAGTTGAAGCTTGGGACATTCAAGGTGACACAGCTGCTATCACCAGAGCAGTGCCAGCCCTCCGCCTTCTCCCTAGGAACCCATCACCTGGCTGATGACCTCAGGACCCCCAGGCCTTGATGATTGTGATGAGTGGCCTGAGGGAGCATCCTCGACACAGCCTGGGGGCGCACAGGTGTGACAGCATCCTGGTGATGACACACACTCACCTGCTGGCAGCAGAAGGAGCCACCATAGGCCACACTTGGTGGAGGACAGGAGTGCAGGGCAGGAGGGCCCCATGGTCTTCCCCGGACATCAGAAGCAGGGGAGGCCTGGGCTTGTGGATGAACCCTGACCCTTCCGGCGGGGTCTTGGGGTGCTGGCGTGGGAGGGCTGCTAGAAAGGGGAGGCTGCGACGTCCTCTTGGCTCGGGCTTAGTGCCTCATCTGCACGATGGGAATAGTCGTGCTGCCTGCACGGGCAATCAGAGAAGGATACGGGTATGACTCACAACAGCCAGAGGTGCAAAGAACCCAAACGCCTGCCAGCTGATGGGCAGATGAACACAGGCAGCTTTCCACACAACAGAACGTGCTTCAGCCAGCGGAAGGGATACAGGGCCAGCGTGTGCTACCACATGGATGCACCTTGGACATGTTTTGCAAAGGGAAAGAAGCCAGCTGCAAAAAGCCACTTATCATGGGCCTGTTTGTGCAGGGTGCTCAGCATAGGCAAATCTATAGGGAGGAGGAATGGGGAGTGTCTGCTTCATGATTTCTGGGTCTCCTCTTAGGGTAGTGGGAAGGTTCTGGAATGATGTAGCAGTGATGCTCTCATGCTCCTGTAAATATGTCCAAATGCACCAAATTGCACTTTTGGGGGCTCTGGGGATTGAAACCAGGGCCTCTGCACTGAGGTACATCAGCATCCCCAGCCCAGCCCTCTTCCCCCATTTTTTTACTGTTTACTCTGACACAAGGTCTCACCAAGTTGCCCAGGTTGGGCTCAAACTTGTGAACTTCCTGCCTCGGCCTCCTAGAGGACTAGGGTTATAGGTGTGTACCACCAAGCCTGGGTTCCAAATTGTACATTTCCTACAGAGTAAATTTTATGGTGTGAATTGTATTTCCCAAAGCTGTTGTTTTAAAGAGAAAGACCTTTCAGGTGAGGCAGAGGTACCCACCCTCCTCAGAGGGCTGACGTGGGGTGAGGGCAGGGAGAACCCAGCAAGCTGATGCAGGAAGGATCCTGGTCATGAGGGAGACTCTGACATCAAGAGTGGATGAACTTTTCCAATGTCTCCAGCAGGGAGAGTTGGAGGGAGCAGCAGTTTTATTATTTTATCTACTATGTGATTTAAAATGTGTCTTTAAAATAACATTAAGCACTACTTTTAAAAGTTTACACATTTTGCTGGATGCGGTGGTGCAGGCCTATAATCCCAGCACTTGGGAGGCTGAAGCAGGAGGATTGCCATGAGTTTGAGGCCAGCCTGGGCTACATAGTGAATTTAAGGGCAGCCTGAACTACATAGTGAAACTCTGTCTCAAAACAAAAATTGTGAAAGTTTACACATTCAAAGTAGCTTTTTTTAGAAAGAAAGAAAGAAAGAAAGAAAGAAAGAAAGAAAGAAAGAAAGAAAGAAAGAAAGAAAAAAAAAAAAAACTTTAGCTAGGCATGGTGGCTCACGCCTGTAATCCTAGCACTTGGGAGGCTGAGGCAGGAAGATTGTTGAAAGTTCAAAACCAGCCTGGGCTACAAAGACCCCAAAAAGAAAGAAAGAGAGAGAGAAGGAAAGAAAGAAAAGACAGACCCTCTTTCTTGGAAGAACAGAATGCAGCTGCCTTCTGCTCAGGTGCACTTTGCATACCTGGCCCAGAGGTAGAACCCTGACTCTCTGTATGGTCCACAGGTCCAGGGTTTCCTTTTGGGATGCTGAGAATGCTCTGGAACTTGATAATGGTGATGACTGCACAATGCTCTGAATGCACTAATTAGATGCCACTATGGTAAATTGTATGCATATTTTAAGTACAACTTCTAAAAAAAAAGAATTTAGGTAAAAGAGTGCTTTTAAACCATAAGCCAGGGGCCAGGGATTTAGCTCAGTGGTTCCACCACTTGCCTTGCAAGCGCAAGGACCCGAGTTCGATCCCCAGTACCCCAAAAAATAAAAAAATAAAAATTTAAAAATAAAATAAAATGTAAGCCAGTTTGAGTATCCTAGCACTTACGGAGGCTGAGGCAGGAGGATTACAAATTCAAGCCCACCCTGGGCAACTCAGTGACTTTGCAAGACACTGTCTCAAAAATTAAGAAAAATACACCAAGGGCTGAGGATACAGGCCAGTGGGGGCCCTGGATTCCCAGTAGGGGAAAAAAAACCCCACTAAACTATGGCACGGATGAAAGAATCGAAATCATTGTTAATGGAGTCACGAAGCCCTTCTGGTCATCCTCATCCTTCCACTCTGTCCCACCTCTGGGTGACCCCAGCCCCCCAGCCCCGGCACATCCCTCTGCTCTGCACTCTGGGACAGTACTGGCCTGGGGTCTGCGGTGTGGCTCTGAGCCCTGGCCAAGCCGCTCTGCCCGCTGGGACGTGGTCACCCTGCGCTGCTTAGGTCCTGGGACAGCACAGCGCACAGACGCAGAACCGCACCTCCCCACGCAGGCTGCTGCGCTCCACAGGGGCCGCCCAGGGATACGGCCCTGCTGCTGTGGCTGTAAGCGCACAATGGCACTTTGTGCCACCAGGGGAGGGCGGTGTGCAAAGGGCCCGACCTGAGCCATTCACCCTGGTTCCCCTGGGAGAATATCGCCCCAGCCACCAGTCGCCCTTACCCCGGCCCCACACACACCTCACCCCGCCCAGGTTTCCCCACTTTGTCCCAGCTGTCTGAGAGGTGCCTGGTTCCTGCCTGGCCCCCAAACGTCTCACCTGGCTGGTGGAGAAAGCCAGTGATTCCCAGGAGGTCCGCTCTTGAGCTCTCTCAGAACAGCACCCATGGGGTAAGACAGAGGGACGGGCAGGGGGAGCCGCCCAGGGCTCAGCCCCTCGGGGCTGCTGCTGCCCACATAGCCCTCCTGGAGCTCTCCCAGCCTTACCTGTGTGTGAACTGATGTCCCCTGCAAACCTGTGAGTGCCCACCCAGCCCAGCCGCAGCAGCTTCTGTGGTCCCTGTGGGTCTGGGGCCTCTGGCCCTCAAGGGGCTTCTTCCAAGCTGCTCCTCTGCAAAGGAAGCAGCGTGGTCAACTTTCTCCCCGAGAGCTGTGATTGCCATCTCGCTCCTTTCTCTGCGTCTTTCCTTCCCATTGTGCATATAGGTCACCTGTTTTCTCTGGGGCATGGGTTACAGGCAATTTTTACCTCTTCTTGACGCTTTTCTACATTTTCCCAATTTCCTCCCACAAGCAGGCATTAGTTACTTAGTATAATGAAGTATTTTTACGCATGCAGTGATTCCTGAATACGCCCTCCCCAATCTCATGGGGTTCGGGGCTCACCCAAAATTCATTTGACTTAGACTCCAGCTGAGTGGAGTGCAAGTAATCAAGGCCAACTCTGTGGCATGGGGACAGCCTGAGTCTCTCAACAGCAAAATGTGGTCTAGGCACAGTGGAAGATCATTCAGCCTTTAAAAGGAAGGAAATTCTAGCGCACGCTACAACGTAAACGAACCTTGAGGACACTATGCTAAGCCAAATAAGCCCTACACAAAGGACAAATGCTTACGCGAGGCCCCTGGGGTAATCAAATCTGCTGAATCAGAGAGCTGAGTGGAGGTTGCCAGGGGCCGGGAGTGGGAGAAAGGAGCCAGAGTTTAATGTGCAGAGCTGCACTGTGGGACAAGGAAGAGGGGCTGGAGATGAACAGTGCTGATGGTTGCTTTATTAGTCACTTTTCCATCGCTGGGCACAATACCCAAAACCCACAGCTTAAAGGAGGGGAGATTTATTTTGACCCACATTGTTTTGGAGGATTCAATCCAGAATCAGCTGGCTCCCAGTCTGAACCAACATGGTAGAAGGCTGTGGGTGGAGGAAAGCTGCTCACATCATGGTAACCAGGAAGCAGAGAGAAAGAATGGAGGAGACAGGGAGGAAGAGACACCCTTCTGTGGCCTCCTCTTCCAGCCAGGCCCCACCCCCTAAGAGCACAGGATTAATCCACTCGTGACTACAGCACCCCATGATCCAGTCACCTTCCAAAAGCCCTACCTCTGAACACAGGAGACTTGGGGGGGGGGCGTTCTAGATCTAGCAGTGGTAGCAAACCTATGGTATGCGTGCCACAGCGGCTATTTGTTATCACTGAAAGCTCTAAAAGGTTTGCCATCTCTGCTCTAAAGCATAGCAGTTGCATAACCATGTGTCCTGCCACCGAGCTGCACAGTGGCTACAGTAGTAAGTTGTGGTCTGTGAATTTTACCAATGTGGAAGGAGGGAAGTCAGCTGTGTGCACCTGGGCTTAGGTTTGGGCTGAGGCACCCGAGCCCCTTAGGTGGCACCAAAGTTGGGACTAAGGTCGGGGCTGGTTTCAGCCCCAAGCTCAGCCCCAGCTCATGGGGCAGATTCCAGGCTGTAGAGCTTCCTGTGAAAGGTTCCTGGGGAGGAAGAGGACCCCAAGAAAGCTCATGGAGAGAGATGAAGACTTGCCCTGAATTTAGAGAGCAAGACCAAGAAAAACATTTGCTTTCATCATCCTCTTGTTTGTTCTTTACTCATTGATCTTTCCGCCATCTCATCCTTTACTGGGGCCAACAGTGTTGTGCGGAGTGACACAGTCAGAGAACTAAACTCCTCGGTCCTGAGGGGAACACATGGAAGAGAACCGGGAGAAGAATGCTGGAGTTGCTTTCGCATATCCACTCACTGCTGTGAAGCTTGATTGTATTCATTTGGTCTCCCTGCTTTCAAAGGTGTCCAAGGAGGCCACCAGGGAGGCCGTCCTTCCAGGCTTTGGACAACCCCCCAGAGCACTGAGTCAGCCTCTCAGTGAGCATCCGAGAGAGGCCTGAGCTGAGCTGAGCTGACAGATCCTGGTGCTGTCACCAGGAGCTAAGTTTCGTCATCACACCGGAGAAACGGCAGAGAGGGCGGTTTTGCCTCTGTTCTTTGTCCTTGTTCAGACCCCTGAAAATCCAGAACCACTTTCCAGTTCCTTTTCTCTCTTGCATCCTCTCTACCCTGGAGAAACTTAAGTGTCCTCAGCCCCTCCTACGTTACCTGTGGATGTCACCTCCGCTACCACTACCATCTAGAAGTCTTGTTGGCTGGTAAAATTGAAGAGAAGCTATAAAACCAAGTGCTTATATCCATCATCACACAGCCATGAAGGGTCTCTGCTTTCCTTGCATCTGAACTTAGAAAACAGGGCTTGTCCAGAAAAGAGGATCCCAGGGACGCCATGGATGCTGACTCTCAGGAGTCTGTGCACGACCTCGTGGTTGTGCCCTTGTGGGGTTTCGAGGCTTTTCTACATTTCTGCCATCATTTGGGCTCGCCTCATCCCAGGAAGGTGTGGAGAGGAGAGGTGATCACCTCTTATCCGTAAATGTAAAAAGCAGATCTCAGAGAAGTGGATCGATTTCTCCAAGTCCCCGGAGTTTGAAAGTGCTGAAACTGGGATTCAGGCTCAAGTCCTCAGCTTCTCAACTGTAATGAGATGGAGGGCTGGCCAGTGGCAAATGTATAAGAAAGGAAAATGTATGAGAAACTATCTGCACTGGCCTATGTCCAACAAGTCCCCAACCCACGACTGCCAATGCCAAGCCACTATCAGGCCCGAGGTCCGTGGCAGATGATCAGTGAGAGAGGACAGGTGCCCACCCCAAAGGCAGCTCTCCTGGAGCCCAGGTTCTAGAAGTTTGCAGTGCACTACCTGCCCCTTCCATCCGGTATCACGACTGTAAATTCCACCATCAGGATCTATTTCAGCTTTTAATTAAGTGCAGTAAAATATAAGATGTCTTTCTCTATTAGTGAGAATAGGAATCCAGGCACATTGAAGTTGCATCATCTAAACATCCAGCAAGAGATGTTCTGGACTCTGGAAGAACGTGCAAATGAGATGCAGTTGCCTCCAGAGGAACACTTCTACAAGACGCCCCCACATTTGCATCCTTTGCAATTAGCTCACTATGGTAATTTCATTAATTTGTCACCTGGAAACCAAAGGATAGATTGTCCCAGGTAGTTGACAGTAATTAGAGTAACCTTCCACCTCTAATTACAAAAGCATTTAAAGAGAAAGAGCTCTGGGCTCTGATGCCCTGTGTGGCTGGAAGGGCAGTTTTAGGGAGTGTGAGAGTGGAGGGATGTTCCTGTGTGTAAAATCTGAGTAAACGGGGTGCGCACCGGAGCCCACGCAAAAGCTATGGCAGGTATGAAGTGCTCAGAATCAACGTCCCCAAGAGGCTGATGCTCACCAGCACCCAGATCTGACCCCACCTGCCCTCTCTCACCCACCTGGGGTGTGGCTGCATGGAACTCAGGGTATCAGGGTGCTTTCCCTGTCCACCTTCCATACAGCTGCTTTTCAACTCCTCACCCACTGGCCCACCTTTGACTCTTTTCCCAAGCACCGCCTTCTCCTGAAAGCCGGCCCAGTTCCCACCCAGCCCCTCTGCCATCCAGAAAGCAAACCCAACACCCCAAGCACAGGAGACCAGCTCTCACACAAACGTCACCACCATACCCTAAAAGAAAGCCCTTGATTCAAGGAAATGGCACTGATTCTTCTTCTAAACACTACTCGCCAGAGATGCTTCAGGAATAGAGTGCTCTTCTGGCTTTCACAGATGCTCTGCCCGATGACCTGATCATAACTTAACCTCTCAAGGTTGGATGGAACTCTGAAGGTCATGTGGAATCTCACACTGGCTGATGTGGGAATTCTCTCCACCAGTTCCAGCCTCCAGCAACCCAGCAAGGAAGATTTGGAACCTTCCACATGAATAAATACTGTTGCTGTCTGCTAGTCTTCATTTAGGCATTTGAGGATTTACTGAATGAAGAAATAAATAAGCAAAGGAAAAAACAGTAGTAATTAAAGCACAGACACAGATTCAGCACCAGAAAGCCACTACTTCAGAGACCGAAACACTCATAGCAGCTCAGCGGCATTTCACTATCGATGGGCTTGGAACAGCCCAGCAGGGACAAGCAGGAAGCTTCTCTGTGGAGCAGGCAGCTTTTGGCATTCTGACATGACCCCCTCTTAAGTGCCCACAACTGCTAGTGTCCTCTGAACCCACACCTGCAATCTCCCACATAGACGAGCCCCCAGCATAAGCCTGGGAGCACCTTGCTTACCTGTCTGTGGTCACAGAAGAACACAGGACAACACTCAAGGGACACAGAGAACCAGTCTGGTTGAGAGATTCAGGGCAGCCAGCAAAAGTCCCCTATGACATGGAGCTGCAGGTGCAGAATGGAGCTTGGTCAAGCAGACACTGCAGCCTGAGGAGTCAGGAGCATCCCGCTGGGATGAGAGCTCCTTACAGTAGAGGCAGATGGGCTTCCTGGACAAGTTCTACAGAGGGTCCCCGGTTTCTTGGGGCTGCCCGCTGTGTGAGGCAGAGAGGTGTCACGCAGGTGCCAGGAGGAGGGTGGTCTGGAGAAACCGGCACAAGGGCAGCAACTGCAGGCGAAACGCACTCCCGGTCCCAGGAGGGACCACAGCGGAGTGAGCATAGAGGCTGCCCTCCCTCTCTCTCTGCACAGACACACGCGCGTGCGCACACACACACACACACGCACACACACACACTGGAGGGAGGAGGAGGAGCCTGCAGCTATTCAGCCTGTGTCCAGCAGGGACAGACGAAGCGCTGCCTCTCCTCTATCCAGTCTTGCAATGCCTCCCTCTGTTCTGAAGGACCAGGACCATGGGCTCTGCGGTCACTACCTGGGTCCTGAGTTCACCCCCAGTGAGCTCACCCAGGGCTTGGCACTGTGTCACAGAGCAGTAGAGTTTTCGGTAAAATGAGAGCAGGGACAGAGCCATGGGCCACCAGCAACACCTCCCTCTGAGCTTCTCCCCTGGGGAACCCCTCTCCTGCACCCAGCCATCTGCAGGGCCACAGGTCACGC